AAGTTTTCTGTCTTGCTAAGCTACCCTTTCCTGGTGCTTTATTATTATTTTGTTATTTTTATTTTTTGAGATGGAGTTTCACAGGTTGGAGTTCAGCAGCATGATCTCGGCTCACTGCAACCTCCGCCTCCTGGATTCAAGGGATTCTCCTACCTCAGCCTCCTGAGGAGCTGAGATTATAGGTGGCCACCACCATGCCCAGCTAATTTTTGTATTTATTTTAGAAACGGGGCTTTCACCATGTTGGCCAGGCTGGTCTCCAACTCCTGACCTCAGGTGATTCACCAGCCTCTGCCTCTCAAAATGCTGGGATTACAGGCATGAACTACCATGCCTGGCTATTTTATTTTTAAACTTGGAGAGGTCAACTCCAAGTCTGGGATACATGTGGCAAAAAGAAAACCCAGGGAATTCATTGCTGTTGTTCCTTGAGTCCTGAGGTCCCTAGCCATCTTCTCTCAACCTTATATCTGTTTTATTTATATTACCTAGGGTTTTTAGTTATAAATTAAAATTTTACATAATTTTAGAGATTTTAAAGGTACATGTCACTAACAAGAGGCAGATTACATTTCTTTTCTACTTTGAGTATACACATTCAATTTTTTAAATTATTGTGGTAAAATATACAGAAAAAATAGGAAAAGTCACTAATTGGCATTTAAAGTTACTATTTTGATAAAATGAAAGTTAACGGTTTTTAAAAGTAAACTAAAGTCAGGTAAAAAGAAATAAGACTTTTGAATGAAAAGCATTAGAAAAACTATGTTTTGTGATCTCCCTGGGTTACATAATTAGTATTAATAGTTAAAATGATTTTTATTGCATTATCTCAATAAAATTTTCATGGGAATGGTAAGGTGGTTGAAAACGAAAAGGAAATACCTAAGCAGAGAGTGTTTTTTAAATGTGACAAATGTGAGTAGAAAGTCTGAAGAGTGTGACACACTCTGGTGACTCGTCGCAGGGTCTTCAGTTACTGGGCTGCTGCTTGTGTTCTTCAGTCTGTGGGACGCACCACGGACAGTGTCACTGGGATTTGTTAAATAGCTATCAAATCGTATTTTAAATTATTACTTTTATATAAATCTTTAGGAACTTGACTTTTTGAAAATTACTTTTTAGTTTATTTCATATTGATTGTGTTATTGTAGAAATTTTCGTAGTTTGCATTTACCATTTCTGTATATGTTAAAGGATATTATTCCTATACTATTCTTTACAATTTTACCTTGCTCAGTGTTGAAAATCTCTTATGCAGATTATTTGTCATCATCTCTGGCCATTTTCACATTCATAGTAGTGTCTGTTCTCACAGAAAATGATTGTCCTGTACATGTGGGTTTTGCGTAATGGGCTCATAGTAGTGTCTGTTCTCATAGAAAATGAGCGTACTGTATATGTGGGTTTTGCATAATGGGCTGATTGGGTAAAGATGACGTCACTTTGTGGGATTGCCTGAAGGAGTTACTAGAAGAACATAAGACTTTTGACTGCTAGCATTTCTTAATAAATGCCATACTGTTGAAAACATTAATTTGTGTTTGGACTGAAGTGAACTGTGGTTTTCCTGGCTTAGTTACTGAGATTTAAAGAAATAAGTCCTAATGTCATAATTACATAGCCAAATAGAATGAAATATTAAGCATTTTTCTCCCTGGCAGAGAGAAATGGGGTTAAGAAGGAAAGAAGTTACTAACTGCCAGTCTCCGTTACACAGTTGTGAGACTAATTTTTGAGATTTGAAGTTCAGGAATACTTTGGAATTTTGTTTCTGTAATTTCTGTATTCTTCATTTTATTGCTGAGACATAAGATATGGTTATTAGAAAAATCCATAATTTTAGAGATTTTTAAGGTACATGTCACTAAGAAGAGGCAGATTACATTTCTTTTCTACTTTGAATACTACATATTTGATTTTTTAAATTGTGGTAAAATATGCCATTTTACCCATTTTTAAGCATCTGTTCAGTGGTATTAAGAGCCTTCATACTGTTGTGCGGCTATCACCAACTAAATCCACTTCTAGAACTTTTTCATTATCCCAGACTGCAACTCTGTATGCATTAAACACTCACTCTTCATTACTTCCTGGTAATCATTCTGCTTTATGTCTTTATGAATTGGGCTGTTCTAGGGACTTCATATAAATGGAATCATATTTGTCCTTTGATGTCTGGCATATTTCACTTAACCATAATGTTTGCAAACTTCATGTTGTAGCATGTCAAAGAATTTTATTCCTTTTTGAATGCAGAATAATATTCCATTGTGTGAGTATAACACATTTATGGAAATATCTGTTCACCCCTTGGTAGACATTTGTTTTGTTTCCACCTTTTGACAGTTGTGAATAATGCTGATGTAAATATCGGCCTACAAATATCTGTTCAAGTCCCTGCTTTCAGTTCTTTTTTTTTTTTTTTTTTTTGAGGTAGAGTCTTGCTCTGTCGCCCAGTCGCCCAAGCTGGAGTGTAGGTGCCATCTCGGCTCACTACAACCAAGCTGGATCATATGTTAGCTCTGTTTTTAGTTTTCTGAGAAGCCTTCAAACAGACTCCTGGGTTCAAGTGATTCTCCTGTGTCAGACTCCCAAGTAGCTGAGATTATAGGCACATGGCCACCATGCCTGGCTAATTTTTGTGTCTTTTGTGGAGACAGGGTTTTGCCATGTTGGCCAGGCTAGTCTCACACTCCTGACCTCAAGTGATCCACACACCTCGGCCTGTCAAAGTGCTGGGATTACAGGCGCAAGCCACCGCACCCAACCAGTTCTTTTCATTATATACCCAGAAGTAGAATTGTTGGATTATATGGATCATAAATATAATTCTATGTTTAATTTTTTGAGGAACTGCCATATTCTTTTCCACAGTGGCTGTACCATTTTACTTTCCAGCTAGCAAAGCACAAAGGTTCTGATTTCTCCACATTCTTACCAACACCTGTTGTTTTTTTCCTTTTTTAATAATAGTTGTCTGAATGGGTATGAAGTGGTATCTTACTGTAGTTCTTAAAATTTCTGTGAGTGCATCATGGCTGCATATATTTATGGGGTCTGTGAGATACTCTGATAGAGCCATACAATGTGGAAGTCACATCAGGGTAAACGGGGTATCCATCACCCCAAGCATTGATGTCTGTGAGATACTCTGATAGAGCCATACAATGTGGAATAGTCACATCAGGTTAAACGGGGTATCCATCACCCCAAGCATTGATGTCTGTGAGATACTCTGATAGAGCCGTACAATGTGGAATAATCACATCAGGGTAAACGGGGTATCCATCACCCCAAGCATTGATGCTGTGTTACACTCCAATCATACTCTTTGAGTTATTTCAAAATGTACAATAAATGATCATTGACTGTAGTCATTCCCAACAGTGACTTTATGATTTTAAAAAAAGAGAAAACGTGGTAAGCAAATGAATCTCACAGTAATTAATTAAATCAGAGTGGGTATCGATAGAGAGATGGTTTGTCATATTCCTTTGTCCTCTGCATTTTCTGAAAGTTTGTAGCTGATCCAGATGCTTAATCAGACTCAGGTTCTGTTCCTTTGGCAAGACCACAGGTAATGTTCTGTTCTTCTAATGGGAGGCGTATAATTTCTTTCTTTCTTTTTTTTTCTTTTTTGAGATAGAAGCTCGCTCTGTTGCCCAGGCTGGAGTGTGGTGGCTCTATCTCTGCTCACTGCAACCTCTGCCTCCCAGGTTCAAGTGATTCTCCTGCCTCAGCTTCCCAAGTAGCTGGGATTACAGGTGTGTGCCACCATGCCAAGCTAATTTTTGTGTTTTTAGTAGAGATGGGGTTTCACCATGTTGGGCAGGCTGGTCTCAAATTCCTGACCTCAAGTAATCCACCTGCCTTGGCCTCCCAAAGTGCTGGGATTCCAGGCATGAGCCACCGCACCTGGCCTGAGGCATGTAATTTCTGATTGTCTTTTGTAAAGATAACAGCCGTTGATGTTTAATTCTAGATCCATTAATTCATAGGGGTTTCACAATTGTGATATTCTATCATTCTTTTTTATTCATAGCTAGAATACTTTTATAGTGAGATGCTCCCATTCATCTATTGTTTACTCAATGATACCTTTATATAGGGAAGGCAGGATAAATGTTTGATTTTTTTTCTGTTAATTTCCTCAAATGTTTGATTTTTCCTTCAGTTGTATTAGTTTGTTTTCATGCTGCTGATAAAGACATACCTGAAACTGGGAACAAAAGGAGGTTTAATTGGACTTACAGTTCCACATGGCTGGGAGGCCTCAGAATCATGGCGGGAGGTGAAAGGTACTTACACGGCAGTGGCAAGAGAAAATGAGGAGGGAGCAAAAGTGGAAATCCCTGATAAACCCATAAGATCTCGTGAGACTTACTCACTATCATGAGAATAACACGGGAGAAACCGACCTCCATGATTCAGTTACTGCTCCACTGAGTCCCTCCCACTGCATGTGCGAATTCTGGGGAATACAATTCAAGTGGAGACTTGGATGGGGACACAGCCAAACCATATCACCAGTTTACAAGATACTGTATTAGTTCTCTGTCATCTTTTTCAGGTGTGTGCCATAAACTCATGTAGTTCAATATATGTGATGAATTTCAGTCTATTGCAGTCATCTTTGTCAAAGCTCAGATTGCTTCATCTTTGGCCGTTGGGAGCAAAGATGCTTCCTGAGTCCTTTTGACCTGACCTTGATCATCTTTGGTAAATAAAGGGACAGTATTTTTTGTTTTGCTTTTCAAAAACCTCAGCATATTTTCTGTGCCTTTTGGAAGGTGGATTTTAGAGATCTATTTGTTTTAGGATATTTGGAACTGATTGATACGATCTTTGATATAATTTGTAAGCAGATATATGCCTTAGAGGTTGTGTTACTTTTAAAGAATAATAGTTTCATTTTTTAGTTTATGTGGAAAATCAAAACATTTCAATAAAATAAGTTCCAAGGACTGATTTTAAACCTAATTTAATTTTTCTTTTAGACCTGTCACGAAATCGCCTTTCAGAAATTCCTATAGAAGCATGTCACTTTGTTTCTCTGGAAAATCTCAACTTGTACCAAAATTGTATTCGGTATATTCCAGAGGCAATTTTAAACCTACAAGCTCTAACGTTTTTAAATATTAGGTAAGATGTTGTTTTCTATTTTAAATTTTTGGTTTTATGTGGTCTTTTCAGTTTTCCCCTCTCTTTCCCTAAAACATTTACCTCTATACATGCTATCTCTTCGTGTCAGCAGTTTCTGTATGTTTCTTGGATACATTAACAGTATTTCCATGTCCCTCCAGTTTCTCGGTTTGTCTTTGGCTTTGCAGTACAGATGCTCCCTGACTTACAGTGGGGTTACATCGCAGTAAACCCGTCTAAGTTGAAAATGCATTTCCCACGTAATCCATCAAACGTTATAGCCTAGCCTAGCCTACTTTAAATGTGCTCAAAACACTTACAGTAGGCTACAGTTGGGCAAAATCATCTAACACGAGGCCTATTTTATAATAAAGTATTGAATAGCTCATACAATTTACTAGATAGTGTAATAAAGTATGGTTTCTACTGAATGTATTGCTTTCCCACCATCATGAAGCCGAAAAATTGTAAGTCAGCTGTTGTTAGTTGGGAATGCCTGTAATTAACAAACCTTACTAGCCATTTGCCAAATGAGCTTGCTTGTAGCAGTCTTGTAGCAGTGCTTCTCCAATTACATTTTCTAATTAGCTTCATTAAATAAGAATAATAGATCTGAAATTACTTTGTTTCTTGTGACCATGTATTTTTGCATGTTAAGTTCTGAATGTATGAATGCATTTATTAAACTAGTCTACTCCACTTTCACATCTTAAAATGACTCTTTTGTTGTTTTATTTGACAACAAATATTTGCAAATGTTCATTGAAGATAATGTGCAAATGTGGAAAAATATAAAGGAAATTCATCAAAATGTATTTGAATTTTATAAGTGATCTTTTCCTTCTGTTTTTCCAGGTTTTTTTTTTTTTTTTTTTTTTTTTTTTTTTTTGAGACAGAGTCTCGCTCTGTCGCCCAGGCTGGAGTGCAGTGGCCGGATCTCAGCTCACTGCAAGCTCCGCCTCCCGGGTTCACGCCATGCTCCTGCCTCAGCCTCCTGAGTAGCTGGAACTACAGGCGCCCGCCACCTCGCCCAGCTAGTTTTTTGTATTTTTTAGTAGAGACGGGGTTTCACCGTGTTAGCCAGGATGGTCTCGATCTCCTGACCTCGTGATCCACCTGTCTCGGCCTCCCGAGGTGCTGGGATTACAGGCTTGAGCCACCGTGCCCGGCCTTTCCAGGTTTTTAGTCAAATTTTTAAATGAGTTTTCCCCTTATGAAACATTATTTAAAACTATTTTTGTATGTAATTATTGTACAGTTTATATACTGTTGAAAATACATTTTCCTCTGGGATCTTTAGTTTCTTCCAGTTTTTTACCATGATAAAAATAATATTAGCAGAGAATTTTGTATGTAAATGTTTACTTTTCTCTTTCCATAAGATAGATGTCTGGGAGTGGAATTGTTACTGGATTAAAAAGTGTTAAAGGCTTGGCCGGGCGCGGTGGCTCAAGTCTGTAATCCCAGCACTTTGGGAGGCCGAGACGGGCGGATCACGAGGTCAGGAGATCGAGACCATCCTGGTGAAACTTGGTGAAACCCCGTCTCTACTAAAAAATACAAAAAAAAAAAAAAAAAAAACCAGCCAGGTGTGGTGGCGGGTGCCTATAGTCCCAGCTACTTGGGAGGCTGAGGCAGGAGAATGGCGTAAACCCGGGAGGCGGAGCTTGCAGTGAGCTGAGATCCGGCCACTGCACTCCAGCCTGGGTGACAGAGCGAGACTCCGTCTCAAAAAAAAAAAAAAAAAAAAAAAAAAGGTGTTAAAGGCTTATGATCTCAGTAAAAGATCTTACAAATGGGGAGGCAATTGGTCCTAAGGAATGAGGTTGAATTTACATACGTAAAAATCTACTTTATTTTAATCTTGATAGATGTGGGTTTTTTTTTGTATTTTTGTTTTTTCTTTTTGTTTTGAGATAGGGATTTGCTCTTGTTGCCCAGGCTGGAGTGCAGTGGTGCGATCTTGGCTCACCACAATTTCCATCTCCCGGGTTCAAGCCATTCTCCTGCCTCAGCCTCTTGAGTAGCTGGGATTACAGGTGCCCGCCACCACACCCGGCTAATTTTGTATTTTTAGTAGAGAGAGGGTTTCACCATGTTGGCCAGGCTGGTCTTAAACTCCCAACCTCAGGTGATCCACCTGCCTTGGCCTCCCAAAGTGCTGGGATTACAGACGTGAGCCCCCACGCCCGGCTAATTTTGTATTTTTAGTAGAGACAGCATTTTGCCATGTTGGCCAGGCTGGTCTCGAACTCCCGACCTCAGGTGATCCACCTGCCTTGGCTTCCCAAAGTGCTGGGATTACAGGCGTGAGCCACTGCGTCCGGCCGATAGATGTGTTTTATTATTGTACTTTTAGTTCTGGTTTGCATGTTTTTGTATAAAAATTCTTTACCTGTAACTTGGTATGATCTATGAAATCACAACTTACTGCCATATTTTCACCATTTATGTGCATTTGATTATAATATTGTAATGATGAGGGAAACAGATTACAAGTTTTATTTAGAAGTCTTCTTCAGGCTGGGCGGTGGCTCATGCCTGTAATCCCAGCACTTTGGGAGGCCAAGACGGGTGGATCATGAGGTCAGGAGATCGAGACCATCCTGACTAACACGGTGAAACCCCGTCTCTAGTAAAAATACAAAAAAAGTTAGCCGGGCGAGGTGGCGGCGCCTATAGTCCCAGCTACTCGGGAGGCTGAGGCAGGAGAATGGCGGGAACCCGGGAGGCGGAGGTTGCAGTGAGCCGAGATCGCGCCACTGCACTCCAGCCTGGGCGACAGAGCGAGACTCTGTCTCAAAAAAAAAAAAAAAAAAAGAAAGAAAGAAATCTTCAGAAGGAAGGAGGATGGTATTATCCACCTTTTAAAAAATATGTTCCTGCATAAATTTTACTGTAATAAAACAGTACTATGTTTATGTTTATGTAGTACTTCATTGTTCACCAAGGAGTTTTCTTGTGCAGGAGCCCTGTAAGATAGGTGGGGAGATACGAAGATCTTCAGTTTACAGATGAGAAATCTCTGTGAGATGCAGATTAAGTTCAACACTGTGCCTGTAACCATAAAGCGACCACCAGTAAAACGAAGGCTAGAACTCCAGTTCCCTGTTTGTTTCTTGCAGGACTCATATTTGTTATTTTACTGAGTATAGAGTGAGAAAGAGGGGAAATTTTTCTTCACTGGTGGACTCTGATTCTTCTTTCTGCTTATCCATTTAGTCGGAACCAACTGTCAACATTGCCGGTACACTTGTGTAATTTGCCGTTGAAAGTCTTAATTGCTAGTAATAATAAATTGGTGTCACTTCCAGAAGAAATTGGACACCTCAGACATTTGATGGAACTTGTAAGTTAATATTTTTGATTGTCCAGTGTGTGTGTGTGTGTGTGTGTGTGTGTGCGTGTGTGTATGAAACCTTGGAGAGAGAGATGTCTACAAAGTCGTACCATAGTCTCTTATGTGGCCAAGATTTATTATTGAGATACGTTTTTGACTTATTTTCCAGTGTTGGTAATGAGTCATGTACTGAATTCTCAGTACTCAAGTGGTTGGCACACAGAACTAAGAACTGAAAGTACAAGCCTAATCAGCCCACACAGATGGGAAAAAGGCATTAGAATTATGTTCTAACCAATATTAGATGATTTCTGTGTCATTAAATTTTTGAGATATGTTAATATAATTGAATTTTTCAAAATAAATGTATTTGTATCATCAATATTCTGATTTTTTATTAGCTCCTATAGGGGAATGGCACTACAAAGGTTAGGTTTATTTTTTGCCTTACATTATATCTTTAGAACTTATCTCCCACTTTATAAACTAAAATATACTTCATTGCTATGTGTTTTTGTTTTGTTTTTTTGGAGACGGAGTCTCACTCTGTGGCCCAGGCTGGAGTGCAGTGGCGCAATCTTGGCTCATTGGGATCTTGGCTCCGCCTCCTGGGTTCAAGGGATTCTCCTGCCTCAGCCTCCCGAGTAGCTGGGACTAGAGGCGCCCGCCACCACCCCTGGCTAATTTTTTGTATTTTTAGTAGAGACAGGGTTTCACCGTGGTAGCCAGGATGGTCTCAATCTCCTGACCTTGTGATCCGCCCGCCTCGGCCTCCCAAAGTGCTGGGATTACAGGCGTGAGCCACCATGCCCGGCCCTATTGCCGTGTATTTTCTAAGACACTTAATTGAACTCCTTCACCTAATCACTTCTTGAGTATTTACCTTCTGAGCATGGGAATAACAATTTTCTCATTTAATCACCATGATAATGAATTGATTACTAAAATTATTTTCATTTTATAACTGAGGAAGCTAGCACTCAAAATTTTGGTTAAATAATTTGCCTAAGGTTATATAACAGAAGTAGTATTTGAAACCAGACTATCTTAAGTCATTCTGAAGTGGTCAAATACAATTACATCCATTAGGATTAGGGGTATGTTTTCATGTAGGTTTATTAACAAAGATGGAAGATGGTTATCATAAATTAATACGTATGTAATATAGGTGAATCACTTTTTTCAGTTAGATTGTGAATATAAGAGGTTACTTGTGAAAATCCACAAATATATTAAAACTAGAGTCTACATTCTAGACCACTATTTTTGGAGCCAGTTAGACCTAGGACATAAAGATCAGAATGTATGTTTATCAGCATCTCTTCAGAACTTGGGTTAAAAACATGAACTAGAAGTAAACTATACTCTAATTCAAATTCTTATTTTCAAATCATTTAAACATTTTGTTTCTACTTTTTCAGTCCTAAATACTTAAAAGATAGAGATGTGTTACAGAAGCTTTTAGTTTTCTACAAAAGAGGTTAATTGATATCCTCAGTCATATAAGGAACTTGTGACAGAATAAGAATTAGTGTCCTGGCCGGGCGCAGTGGCTCACGCGTGTAATCTCAGCACTTTGGGAGGCCGAGGCAGGCAAATCACCTCAGGTCAGGAGATCAAGACCAGCCTGGTCAACATGGTGAAACCCCATCTATACTAAAAATACAAAAATTAGCCAGGCATGGTGGCACCTGTTATCCCAGCAACTTGGGAGGCTGAGGCAGGAGGATCGCTTGGACCCGGGAGGCAGAGTTGCAGTGAGCTGAGATCACACCACCCAGCCTGGGCGACAGAGTGAGACTCCGTCTCAAAAACAAGAAAAAATTCATGAATGAGTGTCCCTAAAGCTCTCCATTCCCATCTGATGGTCTTTCAGCAACATCCTTGTTGGCTCACTATTTTTTTCCTCTTCAGTAAGTGAAAGCAAACTGCTGTTTTCTACATACATATTTTCTGAGAGATTATATATTGCTGTTACCTTTTGGCTCAATCTCAATTTTTATATCCCTTCAACTTTTTTTTTTTTCTAGCTAGGATTTGAACCTATATCCTTTCAACTTCTTTTAGAACCTTTTAATGCCTAGAGCATTGGACTAAGAAGTCTAGCTTCTGGCCAGGCACAGTGGCTCTTGCCTGTAATCATAGCACTTTGGGAGGCCGAGGCACGTGGATCACCTGACGTCAGGAGTTTCAGACCAGCCTGGTCAACATGGTGAAACCCCATCTCTACTAAAATTTTAAAAATTAGCCGGGCATGGTGGTGGGTGCCTGTAATCCCAGCTACTTGGGAGGCTGAGGCAGGAGAGTTGCTGGAACCCAAGAGGCAGAGCTTGCAGTGAGCCGAGATCAAGCCACTGCACCTCCAGCCTGGGCGGCAGAGCGAGACTCCATCTCAAAAAAAAAAAAAAAGTCTAGCTTCTGATTCTACTTCAATTATTAATTGGTAGGAAAAGTAAAACTAGTCTTTTCTCTAAGCATATTTTAAGAATATTAAAAAACGTTTGAAGCTCATTGAAAAATTTAGCAAGTGGTCTTTTTTTATTCTTCTTTCTTTTTTAAAAAAAGAAAATAGAGGTGAGTCCTTACCCTGTTGCCCAGGCTGGTCTGAAACTCCTGGGCTCATGCGATCCACCCGCCTCAGCTTCCCAAGGTGCTGGGAGTAGGCGTGAGCACCACACTCGGCAGCAGGCGGCCTTTTCTGAATAGTAAATGTGTGATTTCTTTCAGTCGTATTGCACAGTTTTAAGTGTTAATGTGGCAGCTTCCCTCTGTTCACATAACGATGTGTTTGCAAATTACCTTGGCTAACCTCAGATTTACGGTATTCTGAATTTATTAATCTTGGAGCCTGTAGGTAGTCACTTGTCAGAACTGTTGAATTAAGCTATTAAGATACCAGAAGGTCTCCCAAACATACCTAATTTTATAGACAGTTTAAAGCAGACAAGTTGTAATGTTAGGACAATCTTTATTTTGTATCTTTTCAAAATAGGATGTGAGCTGCAATGAAATTCAAACTATACCTTCCCAAATTGGTAACCTGGAGGCCTTGAGAGACCTTAATGTAAGAAGAAATCACCTAGTACATTTGCCTGAAGGTAAGAAACTATGAAATGATTATTATTATTATTTTAAGCTCTCTCAGACTAATCAAGACAAAAATGTATAAGGGTTATATCCAGGCTGGGCGCTGTGACTCATGCCTGTAATCTCAACACTTTCAGAGGCAGAGGAGGGAAGATTGCTTGAACCCAGGAATTCCAGACCAGCCTGGGCAACACAGAGAGTCTGTCTCTACAAAAAATTAACAAATTAGCCCCATGGGCTGGCATACTCTTGTAGTCCCAGCTACTCAGGAAGCTGAGGCGGGAGGAGTCCCTGAGCCCAGGAGGCCAAGGCTGCGGTGAGCTATGGTGGTGTCACTGCTCTCTAGCCTGAGCACCAGAAAGAGACCCTGTTTAAAAAAAGGGGAGAGAGAGAGTGTATGTGTGTGTGTGTGTGTGTGTGTGTGTGTGTGTGTGAGAGACAGTGTGTTACCTCCAGTGTTTGAAATCTAATGGTTTATTTAATAGTGTTATCTGTTCCACTGTGGATTTTAAAAGCCTCTTCAATGAAAAGGTTTGATAACTCTTGACCTTTGATTTTATTTTTAGATATTGTCAACCAATGTAATCAATAACTCAGGGTAGGGTCACTGGAAATTTCAGTAAGCATGACTGTTTGGGGGAAATGTAACATGTTTGGATAAGGAGATAGTATGTAGTATAATGAAAAACATTCCCGCAGTTAGCACTCACTTAAAAATGGACTCTGACCTGAACTGAACTTTACCCGTCCCTGGAGATGTTCACACAGAGGCTGATGAACCATGTAGAGGTGATGTGTAGAGTGAATGGTAAATGGGGTGAGACTGCGCTGAGAGGCAGGTTATCTTACTTAGGCTGACTACAAGCCATGTCATTCAAATACATGTTTGAATGATAAAAATGATTAAACATAAGTCTAATTTATCAATCTTTCACAAATTAATAAACACAGTGCTAGAAAGGAAGATGAAAATGAGAGCTGTTATTTTATGAGATCCAGAATATATATTTCTTCTACATGTTTCTGCTCATCACCCAGCAGTAGGAGTCATCAGCTCATCGCAAGTCTTGTCTCTGCTGTGCTCTCGTTTACTTTCCCCTGCACTGTTCTCTAGATTAATTTGAATCGTATACAGAAATTTATTGTAAAATACCAGTGAGTCTTCTCAAGGTGTTTTCATGACAGTGATTTTCTAGGTTCTTTGACAAAATATGACTACAGTGTACAATTAATAATTTGTTTGTTTTGAGACAGGGTCTCACTCCCAATACCCAGGCTAGAGTGCAGTGGCATGAACGTGGCTCGTGCAGCCTCGACTTCCCAGGTTTAGGCGATCGTCTCACCTCAGCCTCCCAGGTCGCTTAGGCTGCGGGCACTCGCCACCATGCCCAGCTAATTTTTGTATTTTTAGCAGTGACAGGTTTTGCCATTGTACCCGGGCTGGTCTCAAACTCCTGGGGTCAGGAGATCCACTTGCCTCAGTCTCTCAGAGTGCTGGGATTACAGGTGTGAGCCACTGCGCCTGGCCACAATACATGTTGAATTAACTAATGATGTTTTCACTTTCCCTGTAGAATTCAAATATTTATACCAATTTGATCCAGCATAATATTTAGTTCTAAAGTACTAGTGGAGCTTTGACATTTTGGATTCCAAGTAAATGTGTAAGAACGTGACCTTTTCAGTCACTTTTATATACTTTACTGCAACCAAAATCTCGCATGTCTTTCATCTCACTTGGCTTGTCCAGGAACCTTCCCACCTTTTATCCTCAGGGCCTTATTTTCTCCTGGGTCTGTTTGCTACCACCTCAGGAATGTAAATGAAGGTTAGCAAAACCAAAATCATGACCTCTAGGACCTTATAACCCCAAATTTCTCTCTAGGGTTACCTCTGTACTCAGGACTCACCTACTATGATTGGTCTTCAAATACTCCTATAATAATAATTATTTAGTGTGAAATCAATTAATGAAAATATTGGGGTTTCAATCAAAATGAAAATTGAGAATTTCAGATAACAATGGAAGCTTAATAGTTTTATCAGCTAATTTATTTCTGTATCTTATTTTGATTGTAGACTGCTGACAAAATGGTTTATCACACAAATAGTTTCAATTTTTTTAACAGTTTATTTTATAATCTCAGCACATATAGTTGAACTGAGTTGGCAGGTGAAGCTTTATTCCAACAGCTACATTCATTCGTGTGGAAGTTTAATTTCTAACATTGCAATTTGGTAGATATCATTTATCTTTTGTTATGTTGCCATTTTGATATAAAGTTAATTTTAACTTTTACCAAATAATACATTACATCATTCAAAAAATATTTAAGAATATTGAGTCTTTTTTTTTTTTTTTGAGACAGAGTCTCACTTTGTCACCTAGGCTGGAGTGCAGTGGCACCATCTTGGCTCACTGCAACTTCTGCCTCCCGGGTTCAAGTGATTCTCCTGCCTCAGCCTCTGGAGTAGCTGGGATTACAGGCACATGCCACCACGCCCAGCTAACTTTTGTATTTTTAATAGAGACAGGGTTTCGCCATGTTGCCCAGGATAGTCTTGATCTCCTGACCTCATGATCCGCGTGCCTCCGCCTCCCAAAGTGCTGGGATTACAGGCGTGAGCCACCGCCTGTAATCTTAAATAGTATCGTTCCCCTGCCTCAAACTTCCCAGCACACCAATTTCAATGTCCAAAAGTATGTATCTTCATTAAACTCCTTTGACTCTTTTTTTTTTTTTTTTTGAGATAGGGTCTCACTCTGTTGCCCAGGCTGGAGTGCATGGCGTGATCGTAGCTCACTGTAGCCTCGAACTCCCTGGGCTGAAGCCATCCTCCCATCTGAGCCTTCCAAGTAGCTGGGACCGCAGACATGTGCCATCACACCCAGAAGTTTTTGTATTGTTTTGTAGAGACAAGGGTCTCACCATGTTGCCCTGGCTGGTCTCCTGGGCTCAAGCAGTCCTCCTACCTCAGCCTCCCAAAGTGCTGATTACAGGCATGAGCCACAGTGTCCAGACTGCTGACATATTTCTAATTGATACATTTTTATAGCTATTGCTGGTTTGGGCAACTTTGACACTTATGTCAGCTTCCTATTGTGATAGATGAGGATTTAGTTTCCTTACACTATCACATACCGTGCCTTTACTGCCTTCCTCCCATCTTCCCAGTGTAGTTTTAGCACAACTTTGGATTAAATGTTATTCAGTGTTCACATTACTATAATTATGTAAACATTGTTCCCTGCCAATTCAAGTGATGTACTCTGATTTTATTTCTTTTCTTGTACATGTTTTTTTTTTTTAGAGGTAATAGTTTCTTATCTTTTTATATGCTTATTTTTGTGTGTGTGTATTGCTAATTCCGCCCTCTTTTTCCAACAGTCTTCCTTGTCAAACCAGTGAGATTCTCTATCCCTTTTTTCCGTGCACTTCTGCCTCACTGAGCCCTTTTTTCCTCTTCTGATACGGACTGGCTGTTCTCTAGTATTGCTGCCCAGCTTTTTTTTCTTTTCTTTGAGACGGAGTCTCGCTCTGTCACCCAGGCTGGAGTGCAGTGACACGATCTCGGCTCACTGTAACTTCCGCCTCCCAGGTTCAAGCGACTCTCTGCCTTAGCCTCCTGAGTAGCTGGGATTACAGGTGCCCGCCACCACGCCTGGCTAACTTTTGTATTTTTAGTGGAGACAGGGTTTCAGCATCTTGGCCAGGCTAGTCTTGAACTCCTGACCTTGTGATTCACCCGCCTCGGCCTCCCAAAGTGCTGGGATTACAGGCGTGAGCCACTGTGCCCGGCCTGCTGCCCAGCTTGCTTTCTTCTGTGTTAAATACTCTGATTCCTAGACTGGATCGTCCTCAGTTTACTCCCTGTTTTGCTGGAGGACATCTCCTAGTAGTTTCCCAAGAACATGTCATAGGAGAACATATTTTTGAGACTTCACTTGAAATGTCTATTCTATGTCCCCCCTTGATTAATAATTGCTATAAATCTAGGTTGAAAACTTTTCTTTCAAGACTCTTAAGTCTTTTTTCACTCTCCGCTTTCAGTGTTTAAAATTAATGGTTGAAAATCTGATGCCATTCATTCTTAATCCCAGTCCTCTGTGACCAGCTTTCGCTCTCGGGAAGATTTCACGATGGTCCCTGTGTATCTGCTGCTCTGGAGTCGTATGTGAATGTGCCGTAGTATGAGCTGTTTTAATTCAATGTACTGGATACTTGGTGGGCCCCTTTCCAAACCAGAGATCCATATCTTCCATTGTGGGAAATTGTTTTACATCTTTTTTTTTTTTTTGATAACTTTCTTTATTCTGGTTTCTCTGTCCCCTTTTCGAATTATTTTGAATTGGATGTTATTAGACCTCTTTGTTGATCCTCTTTGATGATTTTTCTTATCTTTTTTATTATTCATTTCTTTGTCATTTTGTGTTATCTTATGGTAAAATAGTTCCAACCATCATGAATTTTTAATTGCTACCATTATATTTTTTCATTTCTACAAACTCATTATTCTGTGATTTTAAAAAAACATTCCTTTTATGTTTCAGTGATTAAGGACCTTCTCTTTCTGAAACTAAAGATAGTTTAGCTTTTCAAAATTTTCTTCTGCTTTCTATAAAATACCTGTTTCTTCTGAGTTCCTTTTTTTGGTTAGTTGGTTGGTTTTGATGTTGGAGATGTCTAAATGTCTGTGGATCATATACTATCTTTATATAGCTGAATAGAAGTTCTGAGTATACTGGGCAGAAATTGTATAATGGTCATTAAGCAGCAAGCTGTGCATTTTATTAGAAGAAATTCTGTATCATTATATAAAAGCCTTATATATGGGACTGTGAGGTTTACCAGAGAAAGAAGCTCCATTTCTTCTATGTTATTGTGTATATTCTTAACTGTGGCCATTCCTGGGGATGAAGTAGGATAGGGTGGGGTGGGAAGGTGCTGAGGTCTTAATGTTAAGTGTATAGACTGACTTAACTCCTCCATTTTCAGCTGGCAACTCCTCCTGACTTTCCATTGTGCCTGGGATCCCTGAGTTCAGAGCATTTTTGGTTCAATTGCACTGGAAAAGAACTTGCTGACTGCTGGGAACATTGGAGAAGGATAGTGCCCCAGCTGCGTTAGTGGGGGCTGTGGACCCAGGCATTTAACTGTTCTTTATATAGAGTGTTATCTAATCCTTTTGTTATCCTCACCTTCTTGTGGTATCAGGGCCTCCAGCTTCTGAGACTTTCTGTAGTTCTGAGCGGGTCAAAGCTGCTTGCTTTTTATTAGTCATCCTATCTATAGGCAACTAGATCTCATTTTTACCACTTGTCACATTTTTACCACTTTGCTACCAGTTAATCACTAAAAGAGAATGGGAGTAAGTATCTGTGTTAAAATCACATTTAACTAGAAGCTTTTGTAAAAATTCTTTAGTTGTAAAACATCATTAATTGTTCATTTCCATTTTACCTTCATGCAGAGCTGGCAGAGTTGCCTTTGATACGGTTAGACTTCTCATGCAATAAAATTACCACAATCCCTGTTTGTTATCGGAACCTCAGGCACCTACAGATGATCACCCTAGATAACAATCCACTACAGTCACCTCCTGCACAGGTAAACCATAGTGGAAGCGTCAGGTAAACCATAGTGGAAGCATCAGGTAAACCATAGTGGAAGCGTCAGGTAAACCATAGAGGAAGCGTCAGGTAAACCATAGAGGAAGCGTCAGGTAAACCATAGTGGAAGCGTCAGGTAAACCATAGAGGAAACGTCAGGTAAACCACAGTGGAAGCGTCAGGTAAACCATAGAGGAAGCGTCAGGTAAACCATAGTGGAAGCATGGTATGGACTTTTTTTTGGACAAAGGATGAAATTTAAAATTTTTTGTACATTTATCATTCTGTTAGAAAATAATTTCTTTTAAAATAAATTCACATGCATATGTATTTTTGAGAAGCCTTGAATTAATGGATTGGAAGATAATGTTTCCAGAAGTGTTTTTCCTTTCTCTAAATTGGTATTTGTTTTTAAATTGAAGAATTCTTCCCTACATTTTTTTCTAATAAAATTTTAATTTCTTAATATTTTTCTTGTAAAATTTGAGTGTAGACACCATAAATGCTAGAGACAGGCCAGGCGTGGTGGCTCACGCGTGTAATCCCAGCACTTTGGGAGGCCGAGGCGGGTGGATCACAAGATCAGGAGATCGAGATCATCCTGGCCAACGTGGTGAAACTCCATTTCTACTAAAAATACAAAAATTAGCCGGGTGTGGTGGTGGGCGCCTGTGGTCCCAGCTACTCAGGAGGCTGAGGCAGGAGAGTCGCTTGAACCCAGGAAGCGGAGGCTGCAGTGAGCCGAGATCGCACTACTGCACTCCACACTGGGCGACAGGGCGAGACAAATAAAAATACTCAGCTTTCAGAGCTAAAAACTATCAGTACATTTCTTTTTCTGATCATTGTTATTACAACCTTCCTAATTCTAAAAGTCACAAATACCTAGTTTAGACATTTTAGTCGTTTATCAGTGACTGAAATGAAGCTATACAGTAATAATTATAAGGTAGCTTTACATGATGCTGGACATCCTATAACCTATAAATGTTTGCCAACTCATTATTTTCTCTTAGCTCTTTTTTTTTTTTTATTGAGACAGAGTCTTGCTGTCGCCCAGGCTGGAGTGCAGTGGCACAATCTCGGCTCACTGGAATCTCCGCCTCCCGGGTTTATGCCATTCTCCTGCCTCAGCCTCCCAAGTAGCTGGGACTACAGGCGCCCGCCACCACGCCCGGCTAATTTTTTGTGTATTTTAATAGAGACGGAGTTTCACTGTGTTAGCCAGGATGGTCTCCATCTCCTGACCTCGTGATCCTCCCATCTCGGCCTCCCAAAGTGCTGGGATTACAGGCGTGAACCACCACGCCCAAGCCCCTTAGCTCTTTTTAACTCTGCAATTTATTGACCATTTTGTACAAGCATATGCTTCTGTCTCTTTTTTTTTTTTTTTTTTTTGAGATGAAGTTTCGCTCTTGTCGCCTAGGCTGGAGTGCAATGGCGCGATCTCGGCTCACTGCAGCCTCCACCTCCTGGGTTCTAGTGATTCTCCTGCTTCAGCCTCCCGAGTATCTGGGATTACAGTCCCCCGCCACCACACCTAGCTAATTTTTTGTATTTTTAGTAGAGACGGGGTTTCACCATGTTGATCAGGCTTGTTTGAACTCCTGACCTCGGGTGATCCACCCGCCTCAGCCTCCCAAAGTGCTAGGATTACAGGCGTGAGCCACTGCACCTGGCCACATGTGCTACTCTTTATGGCAACTATAAAACTTTATGAGTAAACTTCCTAACAATAGAAGGGTCTTATAAGCCTCAGGACTTTGTGTTTTGACTTCTGGAACAAGTAGCAACAGAAATACATGTAACAGAAATATATGTAATATTTCATGATGTCCTGCTCTTCTTTCTCAAAGCAAAATCAAAAACATAATTGTATGTGATTGTTGGATTCCTAAAAGTAAAAGTTGCTTCACGTAATCTAGTGGGGAGAAATGCTTTAAATCTCTGACTATGCAAACTAATCAGTGTGATAAGTTTACTTGGTATTTGAACAGTATAATCAAAAATTATTTATTTTATATATTACTGAAATTTATTAGTGACTAGAAAATGAAAACTTATATTTACCAGTTAAACACCTAAAATAACACTTAACCAAATAATATAATTTGTTATAAGAATATTCGTTTTTTAATATTACTGTATGTACTTGATAGAAATGCCTCCTGTTCCCAATGTACGTTACATAAAATGTTGATATGATAAAAAGGAGCATACTTCAGATGAGTAATAATTTGTCTACATTTACGTTACTTTATTTAGATATGTATAAAAGGCAAAGTCCACATATTTAAATACCTGAACATACAAGCTTGTAAGATCGCTCCAGATCTGCCAGATTATGATAGGAGACCACTGGGTTTTGGCTCCTGGTAAGTATATTCTGTACCTTTGCCTGTCATATTTTTTGCACAGGGAATCAAATAAAATGGATACTTTAATTTGCCTGAATGTTTGACTAAAGGGAAATAACCTGTTTTAACACTGTTATCCTCAGAATGCTTGTATTGTAGTGTTGATTACTTACATCTGGCAAAGTCTAGTTCTAAGGGTTTCTCAACCTTGGGACTATTGACATTTTATATCAGATAATTCTTTGTTGTGATGGGCTGTCATGTACATTGTAAGACATTTAGCAGCGTCCTTGGCATCTACCCATCAGATGCCAGTAGTACCCTCCCAAGGTGACAAACAAAAATGTCTCCAAATGTCACCTTGAGGCTTCCAGTTGAAAACTACTGGTCTGAGTGACTTGAACACTAACTTTAGCTCTGCTGCTGAAATAACTAGCTGAAGGCAAGTCATTCATACTTTTTGGGTTTCATTTTTCCTACAAGGAGGGAAGAGTTGGATTTGTTGACCATTAACATCACTTCAGTATCTTTTAAGTCTATGAGTCCCTCAGCTACATAATATATGACTTATAAGTCTGAGTCCCTCAGCTACATGACATATGACTTACAAGTCTGAGTCCCTCAGCTACATAACATGACTTATAAGTCTGAGTCCCTCAGCTACATAACATGACTTATAAGTCTGAGTCCCTCAGCTACATGACATATGACTTACAAGTCTGAGTCCCTCAGCTACATAACATGACTTATAAGTCTGAGTCCCTCAGCTACATAACATGACTTATAAGTCTGAGTCCCTCAGCTACATAACGTGACTTATAAGTCTTTGAGTCCCTCAGCTACATGACATATGACTTATAAGTCTATGAGTCCCTCAGCTACATAATATATGACTTATAAGTCTGAGTCCCTCAGCTACATGACATATAAGTCTATGAGTCCCTCAGCTACATAACATGACTTATAAGTCTGAGTCCCTCAGCTACATAACATGACTTATACGGTCATCTGCTTGGCAGTCCCAACCGTATGGAACAGTCTCTTCTGTTTGTAACAAGGTCTTACTGTGTTGCCCAGCCTGGTCTCTCAAACTCCTGAGCTCAAGCATTCCTCCCACCTCAGCCTCCTGAGTATAGAACAGTCTTAAGTAGCAAGAATTAAATTCTTGGGCCTTTAAACAAGCAGGATAGATGTTTCAGTGAAAGTGAAATAATGTTTATGGACTTTACTCCAAAGAGAACCCCTCAGGCCTTCTCTTGGAACCTCTCAAATTTTGCTTAAAAGCACAGTCCCAGTAAACTCGCCTCATTGGGTGAACAAGAATTGCAGAGGTGTGATTGTTTTGAAGCTGGATAATAATGAGTACATGAGGTCTCATACTATTCTGTTTGCTTTGTTTCTATTTGGAATTTTTCATATTAAAAAATTAAAAGAAAGCCCATTTAGTTCTAATAGTTAAGTGACTGCTTGTTTTTTTGGAAAACTGATCTGTTTAATTTCAAATGTTAATTGTTAAAATAACAAACTTTGCAGTAACAAAGTCTCTTTTTGGCAGCCATGAAGAACTGTACTCAAGTCGCCCGTATGGAGCCCTTGATTCAGGCTTCAATAGCGTGGACAGTGGTGATAAGAGATGGTCAGGGAATGAAGTAAGTGTTTTTTATAATCTGTGTGTTATAACACCTGATTAAGAGAAAATAAAATGATGAAAATGAAAAGTGCCTTAACCGGATTCAATTTCTCACTACATAAAATACAGAAAAGTCAAGGTGGGGGTAAGATTCCCACATTCTACAGTTGGAACTGGTGTTCTGCTTCCTTACCGGCTTTCCATCACGCGGATTTCCACCTGTCTGTTTCCTCATTGTCTCATGGAAGTAGTTTCATATCATAGAAAGGCAAACAGGAGCTGAGCCAGTGGAAATTGAAGCCTAAAATGTGAAGGGTGGGGTGTTCTTGAGCAGAGGCGAGAGACGGTGAGAGAACAAGTGGGACTTCAGGCCGATGGGTAGAGATGAGGACCTTAGTGAAGAGTATTCATGTGCTCAGGAACAACCTCCTAGCTAATTCTGTCGTTTTCCTGGTTTTTAAATTATTTGTATTATGTTTTCTGCTCTTAAAAATTAGTGTGTCCACAGAGAAGGTCTACAGAAGAAAAAAAGTAAAAAAATAAAAATTACTAATGTGAATATTTTAGCGATGCATTAAGTTATTAAATAAACTTTTGTTAGCAAGATTGATAACCTATTTATAACATTGTTTTATGGTGAATCAAAAGCAAATTAATTTTAGACCACATCCCATTTGTAATTTGGAATTGTGTTTGTATGTCTTGGTGGGTGGGTTCATAAATGTGGCTGTATCGATACAGATATATACGTAGATATTTTAAATCTATATGTATAGATTTGTGGAGTCATGAATCTTTTTTTTTTTTGAGACGGAGTCTCGCTCTTTCACCCAGGCTGGAGTGCAGTGGCACGCCCATGGCTCAAGCAGTCCCCCCACATAAACCTCCTCAGTAGCTGGGACTACAGGCTTATGCCACCACGCCCGGCTAATTAATTTTTTTTAAATTTAGAGACGGGGTCTCCCTGTATTGCCCAGGCTAGTCTCAAACTCCTGGGCTTATCGTTCCCACCTTGGTCTCCCAAAGTGTTGGGATTATAGGCATCAGCCACCACTCCAGGCCAGGTTTTTATCTTTTTGAGATAGGATCTCGCTTTGTTTGCACAGGCTGGAGTGCGGTGGTGGAATCCTATCTCATTGCAGCCTCGAAGTCCTGGGCTGAAGCAATGCTCTCGTCTCAACACCCAAGTATTAGGATTAGAGGCATGCGTGAGCACACCCAGCTGATTTACTCCTGGCCTCGAGTGATCCCCTGGTTCGGTCTCCCAAAGTGCATGTATTACAGGCGTGAGCCGCCAGGCTGGAAGATGATTGTTCACGTTTCTGCTTCTTTTTTAAGCCTACAGATGAATTTTCCGATCTGCCTCTTCGAGTAGCAGAGATGACTAAAGAACAAAGACTACGAAGGGAAAGCCAGTACCAAGAGAATCGCGGCAGTTTAGTGGTAACAAATGGTGGAGGTAAACGTAATTCCAGTGACATCGAAAGTGTTTGCAGTCATTTAACTTTTTAAAGTTGTCTTTTTCACACCCACTGCTTTTGTTTGTGTACCTATAGCTTCTTCACTCTTCTTTTAAATACTTCTTTTCATATATGATTGAAAAATGCTATTTTCCATTGGGATGAAACTATGATTTCTGGTTTCAGTCAGAGTTAAAATATAGTATTTCTCCCTTGTTTTTATTTTGGGAGGAAACTTTATTAGACACAGTACACCTGGAGTAGATCTTCATTAATCTGGATTTAACCATGACCTTTTGAAGTACCATTCTCCCTTTTTAAGATTCTTGCTGTGGTCATTATTTGATCTCTTTTAGGAATTTAGTGCATTTTTTTTTTTAGCGTTTACCTTTTCTTCACTTGGAATTGTCAGATGCTCTTCAAGGGCGTCTGAATCGCAGTTTTCCTTATTCTGACATTGAAAAATTTGCAGTTCATTAGCAAGTAGCACTCTACTTGCTTATACTTTCTGAAGCAGACTCTTGATTTTCGCATTCCATTCTGTATTGCTTGAATTGGTTTGAATTTAATGTTTAATGTTTAACTTCATATTTAAATTTTGAGGGCCAGTTATAAGGGAAAATGACTTTGATTTTTCCAGAAACCTATTACTTATCTGAGAAGAGCTTTCATTTCTGCGTGATGATTTCAATTAAATGGTTTGCTGTCTTTTTCCTCACCATCTTATGTTCTTTCCTCCTGTCGTTACCATTTTTCATTTACATTTCAGTAGTCTTCAGTGTTTCTCTCGTATGAGGTATCTTTCTCCATCAGTTTATTTAAGACTTAAAATAATGTTGAGATCTGTGCCAGTATGGTAGCCACTAGCCACACGTGGTAATTATTGAGTATTTGAAGTGTGTTTTTTAAGGCTGGGCGTGTTGGCTCACACCTGTAATCCCAGCACTTTGGGAGGCTGAGGCAGGTGGATCACTTGAGGTCAGGAGTTTGAGACTAGCCTTGCCAACATGGTGAAACCTCATCTCTACTAAAAATCCAAAAAAAAAAAAAAAAAATTAGCAGAGCATAGTGGCACATGCCTGTAATCCCAGCAACTGGGGAGGCTGAGGCAGGAGAATCAGTTGAACTCAGGAGGCAGACGTTGTAGTGAGCCAAGATCGCGCCACTGCACTCCATCCTGGGCAACAGAATGAGACTGTGTCTCATAAAAGGAAATAAAAAAGAAAGGTGGTTTTTCCAAATTGATACGTATTGTAAGTTTAAAACACACATCAGATTTTGAAGACTTCATTTGAAAAAAAGCATATAAAGTAGTAATATTTTGCATTGATTATATGTTGAAGTGATATTTAGACATATTGGACAATGTAAAATATATTAAAATTAATGCTGCCTCTTTTACTTTAAAAAATATGACTACTAGAAAATTTCAAATGACGTATGTGGTTCACCTTTATGGCTTGTGTTATTTTTCTCTTTGGCCACACTTGTCTAGATTGTATGAAGAAGTAAAGTTGCTTTCTTCAGAAATGGTCTTAATATAAACATGTATTTAGTCAGACAAGTGTTAGCACATTAAAAAAAATGCATTTATTTACTTGGTTTCTAATGTGGATGTAAACTTGTAACCTTTTCATCTTTTTAGCTATTAATAAAACTCTAGTAACTCATAATTCATTTTATATTAATTGCATTCACCGAATTATTTATAAATGAGTCAGAAGACTAGTTTGAGAAAGAGGCTCCTCCAGCTTCACTGCTCCAGCAACTGCGATTTTTAGGCAGCCTATAGAACGTCATAAAGTGACAGGTTGTGGTTAGTGCGTCTCTGGAGAAACTGTCTTAGTAGCAAGTTTTTTTTTCTAGTGTGCCATTTTAAGTAGTTGTTTCATTACTTTTAAACTTAAAAATAATGGGGGATTCCCAAACTTAATAGATGAATGATGTGGCTAAAAATAATTTATATACTTCTCCTCACCCTAAAGCATTTTGAGAGGAAAAAATTTGTCAAATGAATCCCTTCCCATCCAAAAACTATTATAAAATATCTACATTGCTGACCTCTAGCAGATAGTTTTCCAAATAGGACAGTCTTTGTTCTGATTTTGTTTCTGTTTAATTGACAACAATTACTGGAAGGGAGATAGTAGTCAGAAACTCTTTTCTTTCTCAAGTCTAGTTTACTCCTACCTTTTCCCTTTTTTGTGTGTGGCCTTTTACTTTCTTTTGAGTTGACTATGTTCAGTTTTCCACCTGCTGTCTCCTCCAGAGATAATAAGCCCCAGACCTGAAACACGAGGATGTGCCTTTCAGTCTTTAAAACTGTTCTTGCTCTTTGTCTCACAGACTCAGACTGCTGTGTTTAAAACAGTAAGGAGCTGTCCAAAGAAAATGTTAAAGGTCTCTATTTCAATAATTATCAATTACTATGTTCTTTAGTGAACTAGGACTAAGGTTTTCTGGAGCCTATTTTTGTGAGTGACCATGAACTAAATAATAAACACTCAGGTGCCAGCCTCGGTGGCCGACGCCTGTAATCCCAGCACTTTGGGAGGCCAGAGTGGGCGGATTGCTTGAGCACAGGAGTTTGAGACCAATGTGGCCAACATGGTGAAACCTCATCTCTACTAAAAATAGAAAAAGTAGCTGGGCGTGGTGGTGCACACCTGTAATCCCAGCTACTTGGGAGGCTGAGGCAGGAGAATCGCTTGAACGTGAGAAGCAGAGGTTGCAGTGAGCCAAGATTGCACTACTGCACTGCAGCCTGGGTGGCAGAGTGAGACCCTGTCTCAAAAAAAAGAAAAACAAAACAAAATAAAATATAAGTAAAATTTATTTACTTTTTTTTTATTTTTGAGACGGAGTCTTGCTCTGTTGCCCAAGCTAGAGTGCAGTGGCATGGTCTCGGCTCACTATAACCTCCGTCTCCCAGGTTCAAGCAATTCTCCTGTCTCAGCCTCCCGAGTAGCTGGGACTACAGGCCTGCACCACTAAGCTCGGCTAATTTTTGTATTTTTAGTAGAGACGGGGTTTCACCATATTGGTCAGGCTGGCCTCGTACTCTTGACCTCAGGTGATCCACCCGCCTCCACCTCCCAAAGTGCTGAGATTACAGGCGTGAGCCACCAACCTTGGACATAAAATGGGTAAAAAAAAGATTTACGTCATTTAAAGTTTTTATCATCCCTCCCACTTTTTTTTTTTTTTTTTTTTTTTTTTTTTTTTTGAGACGGAGTCTGGCTCTGTCACCCAGGCTGGAGTGCGGTGGCCGGACCTCTGCTCACTGCAAGCTCCGCCTCCTGGGTTTACGCCATTCTCCTGCCTCAGCCTCCCGAGTAGCTGGGACTACAGGCGCTCGCCACCTCGCCCGGCTAGTTTTTTGTATTTTTTTTTAGTAGAGACGGGGTTTCACCGTGTTAGCCAGGATGGTCTCGATCTCCTGACCTCGTGATCCGCCCGTCTCGGCCTCCCAAAGTGCTAGGATTACAGGCTTGAGCCACCGCGCCCGGCCCCCTCCCACTTTCAAAATAGAAAATCTTGGGGAAAAGGAAATAAGTAAATGTCTTTTATTGGCTGTCTAATTCGAATGTTTTTTTCTGGTGTGTGTGTGCATGTGTGGGTGTGTGTGTGGTGTATACAGTGGAACATGATCTGGATCAGATTGACTTCATAGACAGCTGTGCCGCAGAGGAAGAAGAGGCCGAGGTGAGACAGCCCAAGGGACCGGACTCAGACAGCCTGAGTTCACAGTTTATGGCGTATATTGAACAACGGCGAATCTCTCATGAGGTAGTACCTAGATTGAAGCCTAAATATGTTGCTGTCCCTTCGTGAAAATAATTCATGATAGTATAAAGTTTTGTTGTATCAGTGATTTGTTGACTTAAGCCTAATTGTTTTCATTATGTTCACTTCTAATTTCAGTACCGAATTGTTGAAATTTATTCAGAAACATCAGACAGTAGTCTCAAGTAGGCTTTAGGTTTATTTTTCAAACCAGAAGACAGATTTCAGAATGTTGCAGAAGGAAAAAGAGAAGTCTAGGTACTGTTAAGGCCTTCGAAGAAAGTACAAAGAAAAATACAGTGATGCTTTTCATTGTTGTTTTTATTGCTTTTATATTGTTACTAACTGATAAATCATAGTTTGGTCAGTAGTTAATTAACAGTTAAACCAAAAAGTTGACTTTTGTGGCAACATGCAGACTTAACCATAGCATTTTTATAATATGCTGAATTATATTGGAGCTTTTGTGCTAAGTCACACAGAACATAAATTGTTTGCTATTAAAATTCTTGGGTATCTCTTAAGTGGAACATTGAATTGCCTTATAAAACAAATGTGCATTCAGCCCACTGCAGAATCTCCGCCAGCTCCCCAAGGGTCTCAGATAGAATAGCGTTCTTCAGTCTGTCTTGTCAGCATAATAAAATGGCTTCACTTTAGTGGATGCGATGTTGATGTCTGGAGTTGGTTTCAGGCTCTGAGCAGTGATTATTTGAGAAACAGTTGGGTCCTTTCTAGAGAATGATGTATTAGCCTTTTAGAAATAGAGAATAATCTCTTTGGTCTGAGACAGCTAAAAGGAAAGAAAAAAAAAGAAATAGAGAATAATCATTTCAAGTGGGACATGTTGTAGAGTGGTATTATCATTCTTTATTTAATGAGACAGAGTCTCACTGTGTCACCCAGGCTGGTGTGCAGTGGTGTGATCTCGGCTCACTGCAGCCTCTGCCACCCCGGTTCAAGTGATTCTCCCGCCCCAGCCTCCTGAGTAGCTGGGATTACAGGCATGCGCCACACGCCCGGCTGATTTTTGTATTTTTAGTGGAAATGGGGTTTCTCCATGTTGGCCGAGCTGGTCTTAAACTCTTGACCTCATGTGATCTGCCTGCCTCAGCCTCCCAAAGTGCTGGGATTACAGGTGTGAGCCACTGTGCCCAGCCAATATTATCATTCTTTTTTTTAAAAAAGGGGCTTTGGTTTTTCCTGTCTGAACACTTTTGAACACAGTGTGTTTTGTTGGTAAAGAGACACTCTTGTATTTAAAGTTGGATAAAATTATGTAAGTCAAAGTCTTACAGCCCAGAGATAGCAATGTACCAGATGACTGGTGAAACTACTTGTTCAGGCTGCTAGAGCAAGGGGCACTTAACTGTTTTGCAATAAAATTAAAATGAACAATGACACATTATAATCCTTAAAGGAATTCATTTCCTTTTCTCCTGGTCTTTCTCTTTGATCATGTTATGCTTAATTAGGCTGTATAAATGGAGTATCTTTACTAAAAGTAAAAATGCCTATTATACTACTATGAAAAATAATAGTATCATTTCTTTAATTCATTATATTGTTTGTTTTGTAATAATAGTTTTTAAATTCTGGCTGCCTATTACATATGGTAGTCTTTACGACTTCTGTGTCATAAAGCTTTCGTGAAATTTAGCGTCTGTGAAAATATGATGAGGCAGCATTATTTTAGATGGTTTCACAACCAGGGAAGAAATATCTTTTTGTTTTCCAGAACACTTATCTAAAAATGGATTGTTAAAAACTAATCTATGTGAGATTTTAAACACTCTACTATTATTTAATTTTATTATAATACTTGTCACATACATAGACCATTCCTATCTGAACATGGTATGATTTTTTTTTTAATTAAATGACACATTCATTTCGTCATGAAAATTTCATGTACATCTTAGAATAATTTTAGATAATTGCAGTATCATAAAACTAGGATGGGGCTGGACATGGTGGCTCACACCTGTAATCCCAGCACTGTGGGAGGCCAAGGCGGGTGGATCACTTGAGGTCAGGAGTTTTAGACCAGATTGGCCAATGTGATGAAACCCTGTCTCTACTAAAAAAATAAAAATAAAAAGTAAAATAAAACTTAGCTAGGAGTCATGCCAGGCGCCTGTAATCCCAGCTACTCTGGAGGCTGAGGCACGAGAGTCGCTTGAACCTGGGCGGCGGATGTTGCAGTGAGCCAAGATTGTGCCTCTGCACTCCAGCCTGGGTGACAGAGCAAGATTCCGTATCAAAAAACAACCAACCAAACGAAAAAACTAGGATGGTAAGTCACTGATACAACATCCTAGGAGAGATTTTTGTTTCTTTGTTAAAAGGGTATAGCTTGGCCTGGTGGCTCATTCCTGTAATCTCAGCCACTCGGGAGGCTGAAGTAGGAGGACTGCTTGAGCCCAGGTGTTTGAGACCAGCCTGAGCAACATAGCGACTCTGTCTCTAACTAAATAAACAAAAATTGTAAAATGGTGTATTCACTAAAATTAGAAAAATTATTTTTGCATCAGAGTTACAGAATTGTAGTTTATTATTGGGATCTCATGTCCAGACTTTAAGACAGTCAGTTGTTAGCCCTTTGGAGTAACTCACCAAAAGTTTCTAGTGACATGTGATGTACCTATTTCTTGGAGGTAGATGATAAGTAGTTTCATGTTTGATTTGTAGATATGCTTTTTGGAAAAGTTGTTTTCTTATTTTTCCCTTGATGAATAACTATTTTGATGATTATTTTTGGTTGAAACAAGATTGTATTGCTTCTGTAGATTTTCCTTTGATAACCTTTAATCCTCTACCTTTGATTTATAGTTTTATTTTTCTGTGTGTGGTCTGTATTTTAAACCAGTTTAATTTTCCTCAGTAATACTTTTTGAAAATGACCTTTTACTCTTTAGTTCATAAATAAGTAAAATTGCCAGTAATATTTTTCTTTTAAATACAGTATTTTACCATAAATAGAAATTACTTTTTGTTTTATCTTGATAGTCACCAACACACCCAAGACTATTTGTATGAGTGTGATAAGAGACAATTTGTGGTGATGGATCAATAAAGAAATGTAATCTGCCCAGTGAACTCACTATTTCCAGAAATATTCAAGAGAAACTGAGCAAATGTCAGGGTAGGGTAGGTGGGAATTTCTGTCCTCAATGGAAGTCTGTACTAGTGGCCTCTTCAGTTCCTTTCCAATTCTCACATCTTATTATTCAGTAAATATTACTGTGCTCTGTCACTGTAATGTATATAATACAGTGAGAAGGAAATCTACTTTCTTATAAAATAAATGTGAATTGTGAACATTTTTGTTTATTAAAGCAGCAGTATAGCATATGATGCTTTTACACTTAAAGTTTACATTTGAAGAGTCTATTAAAATATTTTTTAATGTAATACACAAATTGACAAATTGGATGTGAACTGTATAATCACAGTGTTATGGATTAATATATTAAATTTATTTATTTCTATCCTTTGGCCTAGGGTTCACCAGTAAAGCCAGTAGCCATTAGGGAGTTTCAAAAAACAGAAGATATGAGAAGATATTTACATCAAAACAGGTTTGAAAAACCAATTCTACTTAATTTATTTCTGTCTTAACTCAATGATGAGAGCATAAACTAATTTTGGATTTATGCAGATCTGTGTATAATAAAGATGTTTAGATGGCATGTATTTAGAACTGAATGACAGTATGCTTTTTGTACTCATGCCATAGAAAAAGTGAAAATTGATTTGATTCTAAATTGACACTATCTAAATCACCTACACAGTTAATTCATCTGAAGATACTTGATAGCAATGAGACTTTGTGGTGATGCTATGTGGATTCATGCATAAAAAGGGCTAAAAGAACTTCAGGACTGGGCATGGTGGCTAACACTTGTAATCCCAGCACTTTTGGGAGGCCAGGGCGGGAGGCTTGCTTGAGCCCAGGAGTTGGAGACCAGTCTGAGCATCATTCTACCCTCTACAAAAAGTAAAAAACAGCCTGGCATGGTGGGGCACACGTGTGGTCCCAGCAACTCAAGAGGCTGAGGTGGGAGGATCACTTGAACTGGGAGGTTGAGGCTGCAGTGAACCCAGTTTGTGTCATTGCACTCCCACCTGGGCAACAGAGTGAGACCCTGTCTTAAAAACACACACACACACACAAAAATACAAAAAACAAAAACAAACGAGTTTCGAGAGTCCTAATTTTTTTTTTTTTTTTTGAGACGGAGCCTCGCTCTGTCCAGCCCAGGCTGGAGTGCAGTGGCCGGATCTCAGCTCACTGCAAGCTCCGCCTCCCGGCTTTATGCCATTCTCCTGCCTCAGCCTCCCGAGTAGCTGGGACTACAGGCACCCGCCACCTCGCCCGGCTATTTTTTTGTATTTTTTAGTAGAGATGGGGTTTCACCGTGTTAGCCAGGATGGTCTCGATCTCCTGACCTCGTGATCCGCCCGTCTCGGCCTCCCAAAGTGCTGGGATTACAGGCTTGAGCCACCGCGCCCGGCGAGCCCTAATTTTTTTTAACTTACATTTTTGACTGGATAACAGAGAGATAGGCAGAGACAGTGATATGTATCGCCAGTCCTGTCTCCATGCGATCTTTCCACTGTACTTGGTGCCTCTCAGAATATTTTGAAAATTAGGCCTGGCACGGTGGCTCATACCTGTACTGCCAGCACTTTGGGAGGCCAAGGCGGGCGGATCACTTGAGGTTAGGAGATCGAGACCAGCCTGGCCAACATGGTGAAACCCCGTCTCTACTAAAAATACAAAAATTAGCTGAGTGTGGTGGGACACACCTGTAATTCCTGCTACTTGGGAGGGTGAGGCAGGAAAATCACTTGAACCCAGGAGGTGGAGGTTGTAGTGAGCTGAGATTGCGCCACTGCACTCCAGCGTGGGTGACAGAGTGAGACTCCATCTCAGAAAAAACAAAAAAAACAATATTTTGAAAATTAGCTTGATCATTTAGAGCACTGCTTCTCATTCTTGAATTCCAGAATGTTTCTTGCCATGAAGTATTTCGCAGTAGTTGGAAATTTCATCCTTTAGTTCTTTGCCTTCTGGTTTTATGAAGTCTTGATATGCCTATTCTTAAGTGATAGTAAATTTACGTAGTTCTTATACTTGACAGGGTATTAAAGTTAACTTGGGGGACTGAGATATAGATGGAATAAATATGTAGGGAGAAAAAAGACATAACTTTGCCATTTATACTCTTACCACTTAACTAATGGAGATTTAATTAAATTTTACATGCTTCGAAATGTATTTCAGAATGTCTTTTCAGTTGCCATGTGCCCTTTTATTGAAAGTATAGTTTTGAGATTCCAGTTTTATGCAGGAGTTTCCAGTTACATTCCCTGCCCTGAGTGGGCCTGCGTTTTTTATCTCGTGTGTCTCACGTCCTGCATCCATCATAGCTCGAGAGCTCCAGGATTTAGGAGAAACCCTCACAGTAAAAGCTAGTTTTCACTCAGTTACCTTATGTGTTAGTTTTCTGTTGCTTGTGTTATAAAGTTCTAGCAGTTTAGAACAACACCCCTTTATTATATTAATACCCTTCTGGAGGATAGAGCCTGGGCAGGCCCCCCTGGTTCTCTACTTAGAAGCCAAAGTCAGGGTGTTAGCTGACCTGGATTCTCATGTGGAGACTGTGGAAGACAGTTCATTTTCACACTCCTATATGTTGGCAGAGTTCAGTTTGATGCAGTTACCGGTCCCCGTGACTGAGGTCCCCATTATTTTCCTGGTTGCCAGTGGGTGGTGTTTAGAGTCCACCCACATTCCTTCTTCATGGCCCCCTCTGTCTTTAAACCAGGAATGATGGGTCAAATCCTCCTTATATTTGGCATCTTTCTCACTTCCCTTTCTGCCACATCTCCCAAAGTCTTTTGCTTTTAAGGGCTCGTGGTTATATTAGGTCAACCTGGATAATCTCCCCGTTTTAAGGCCACCTGATTAGTAACCTTAATTTCATCTGCAAAGCCTTTTAAAAATGTAATACAACAATATTCACTAGAGTAAGGCCAGGGACGGAGATCATGGAAGACGAAAGTCTGCCTACCACATCTTAGTCCAGAGTTCCTGTTTTTACTTCTTTTTGAAAGTCTGTGGATTCTTTATTTTCATGGCACCTTAGCAATACATTTTAAAAGCTTGTTTTATTTTATTCAGCATTTTGGTTATTTCCATTGGAAGAGTCATTCAGGACGTTTAGTCTGCCGCACGCAGTGCTGGAAACTAAAGCTGGGATTACATTTTTTGTTTTGTTTTGTTTCGTGGCAGGGTCTCTCTCTGTTGCCTAGGCTGGAGTGCGGTGTTGTGATCATGGTCACTGCAGCCTCTACCTCCCAGGCTCAAGCAATCCTCCCACCTCAGCCTCTGGAGTAGCTGCAACTTCAGGCGTGTGCTATATACTCAGCAAATTGTTTGTTATTTTTAGTAGAGACAGAAATCTCACTAAGTTGCCCAGGCTGGTCTCAGACTCCCGGACTGAAGTACTAACTCTCCTGCTTTGGCCTCCCAAAATGCTGGGATTACAGGTGTGAGCCACTGCGCCCAGCCATGATTACTGTTTAACTGGGGGTTCCAGAATACTAGACCTTAGCACAGTCCTTGGATAAGAACTCCATACTTGATCCTAGTAACCAGTTAGGCTCTAAGATCAATATATACTTCATGTTTTTAATTAGCAGGTATTTGTGAAATATCTACTATGTGCCAAGTTCTTTTCCAGATGTAGCTGTGAACTGAGTCAAAATTCCTGCCGTCTTGGAGCTACCATTCAAGTGGAATGTTGAATCAGAACCTAAAAAGACAAAATCACCTCTCCGTGACTGATAGCTCTCAGGCGAGCAAGGCTTGTCTTAAATCTGAATAACATGTTATCAAAAAGAATCTGCCTCAGTGGTCTGTCAGTTACAGCAGCTCAAAAACACTGAGTGAGCATGAGGAATCCTCTGCTAGTGAGCCGAAAAGGAAAGCTTACTTGCCCCTTTTTCCTCTCATTCTCTTCCCCTACCCTCATCCACCACACACATTTCTTCCCACCTACCACTCCCCTATCCCCTACCCACATAGAGTCTACCCTACTGGGAGATAATAAACATATGGAGATGTAATACATAAAAAGTGTGAATGTTTTATAGTATTTGCCAAGATGGATTATGTAAATTTGAAATTGAAACTAGCAAAAATTACGTTTTAAAAAAATTGTTAAAATAATTTTTTATGGGCTGGGTTCAGTGGCTCACGTCTGTCATCCCAGCACTTTGGGAGTCCAAGGCCAGCAGATCACCTGAGGTCAGGAGTTCCAGACCAGCCTGGCCAACACGGTGAAACCCCATCTCTACTAAAAATACAAAAATTAGCCGGGTGTGGTAGCTTGCACCTGTAGTCCTAGCTACTCGGGAGGCTGAGGCAGGAGAATTGCTTGAACCCTGGAGGTGGAGGTTGCAGTGAGCCAAGATTGTACCACTGCACTCCAGCTTGGGTGACAGCAAGACTCTGTCTTAAAAAAAAAAAAATATGAGTCCTACTTATAATTTGAATAGCATTTTAGTTCAGGAGACATGATCATATCAGACTAGGTTCTGTAAAGTGTGTTATAACTTCTATAAGAAGCAATATAGAATTAACATTTAGATAAAACCTGAAAGTTTTTTTGTTTCATGTTATATAGACAAAGCCAGAAAAGCTACTCACATTAATTATGTGATTTTGTAAATAAAGAAAAACAGAGAAGGCAGTTTAGAGTCTGCCTTATACTGGCTGGGCGCGGTGGCTCACGCCTGTAATCCCAGCACTTTGGGAGACCAAGGCAGGTGGATCACCTGAGGTCAGGAGTTCCAGACCAGCCTGGCCAACATGGTGAAACCCCGTCTCTACTAAAAATACAAAAAATTGGCCGGTGTGGTGGCAGGTGCCTGTAGTCCCAGCTACTTGGGAGGCTGAGGCAGGAGAATTGCTTGAACCCGGGAGGTGGAGGTTGCAGTGAGCCCAGATTGTGCCCCTGCACTCCAGCCTGGAAAACAGAGCGAGACTCCATCTCAAAAGAAGAAAAAAAAAAAGTCTGCCTGAACAGACAAAAGTCTGGTTTACTTAGCTCAAGTAAGTTCAAGATTTAGAGGAGATACATGTGTGTTATCTGCATTTTGTTTTTTATGTCTCAATATTCCACGCTTTTTTGGGGGAGGGTGCTACTGTCATTCATTCAAGCAATATTTCTTCAGCACTATAATGGTTTTGCCTCTGTTCCAAATCCCTGATATTTTAGAGTTACTTTTTAGTGGATGTAGACAAATATGTGTAACAAGTATATTTCAGGTACTGCTAGGTGCTATGAAGAAAAACAAAGCAGGATGAAAGAGATGGTAGGGTGAGGGAAGAGTGAAAGTAATGTTAGATGCAGTGATAATATTTCAGTAGAAACCTGAAAAAGAGCAAATGTTATGGCGGTCTAGGGGTGAAACATTCTAGGTAGAGGTTCTGAGGTAGGAACATGCTTTTGGTGTATTCAAGAAACACCCAGGAGCCTGAGTAAAGCAGGACACATCTGGGGTGTGAGGTGAGAGTTCCGCTGTGGTTAAGTTCTATTTCAGGTACATGCAAGACATCCGAGTGGAATTATCAAGTAAGCAGTTAGATTTATGAGTTTGGAGTAAGGTGGCAAGAATTAGGGCTTGAACAACCAGAAAAACAAACTGAGCAGGGGTGGTCATGGGGATAGGAGAAAGAGGGTGGTGTCCCAGAGGCTAAATGAAACCAGTGCTGCTGTTTTTGCTTTTTCAAGACACAGTCTGTGTCACCCAGGCTGGAGTGCGGTGGTGTCATCATAGCTCAAGCAGCCTTGACCTCCTGGACTCAAGAGATCCTCCCGCCTTGGCCTCCCAAAATGCTGGGATTAAAAGCATGAGCCACTGTGCCTGGCCTTGAAAACAGTGTTTGAAGAAGTATAGAGAGGAATGAACAACATCACTTACTGCTGATAGGTTTTTTTTCCAGGCGGAGACTTGCTCTGTCGCCAGGCTGGAGTGCAGTGGCGCAATCTTGACTCACTGCAACCTCCGCCTCCCGGGTTCAAGCCATTCCCCTGCATCAGCCTTCTGAGTAGCTGGGACTACAGGTGCACGCCACCACACCTGGCCAATTTTTTGTATTTTTTTAGTAGAGTTGGGGTTTCACCATGTTAGCCAGGATGGTCTCGATCTCCTGACCTCATGATCCACGCGTCTCAGCCTCCCAAAGTGCTGGGATTACAGGCGTGAGCCGCTGCACCCCGCCCTGCTGATAGGTTTAATAAGAGGAGGACTAAGAAACAACTATTAGATTTGGGGTTGTCAAGATCACTGACAAACCTGTGAGGGGAAAGAAAGAACAGTTTTAGTGAAATTGTAAGGACAGGATGCGGATTGGATTGGGTACAAAATACAATAATGAGATAAAGTGGAAACAGTGGGTTTGACTGGATTTTTAAAGAAGCATTGTAAAAAGAGGGTAAATGAATATATGTACCTGTAATCCCAGCACTTTGGGAGGCCGAGGTGGGTGGTCTGCTTGAGCCCAGGAGTTCGAGACCAGCCTGGGCAACATGACGAAACCCCATCTCTACCAAAAATATACAAAAGTTAGCTGGGCCTGGTGGTGCACACCTGTAGCTCCAGCTTCTCAAGAAGCTTAACTCTGGGAGGTGGAGGCCTCAGCGAGCCGAGATCGCAGCACTGCATTCCAGCCTGGACAACAGAGTGAGATGAGACCCTGTCTCAAAAAAAAAAAGAAAAGAAAAGAAAAAAAGAAACATATGTAAAAAGAGGATATGTATTAAAAGATTGAAAAGCAGCTGGGCACGGTGGCTCACGCCTGGAATCCCAGCACTTTGGGAGGCTGAGGCGAGCGGATCACCTGAGGTCAGGCGTTCAATGACGGCATTTCATTAAATTCGGCCTCGCCAACATGGTGAAACCCCGTCTCTACTAAAAATACAAAAATTAGCTGGGTGTGCTGGCACATGTTTGTAATCCTAGCTACTCAGGAGGCTGAGGCGGAAGAATCGCTTGAACCTGGGAGGCGGAGGTTGTGGTAAGCTGAGATCGGGCCACTGCACTCCAGCTTGGGTGACAGGACAAGACTCTGTCTCAAAACAAAACAAAACAAAGATTGATAAGCATTGTTAAAGTATGGTGTTCAGGTTAGGGCACATAAACAGACTTGAGACGGTTTATTTGGTCCTTTCTGTGTTTTGGTTCAGTTCATCTACAGATGGCCAGTAAAAGCTATGGGAAATTTTAACAGTGAAATTAGCAATCCAGGGAGAAAGTTGCAGTTAATTCCTGTTACTCTAAATGTGTAATCAGGGCGGGCTGCGGTGGCCCACACCTGTAATCCCAGCACTCTGGGAGGCCCAAGTGGGTGGATCACTTGAAAACTCAGGAATTTGAGGGCAACATAGCAAAGCCCCGTCTCTACAGAAACTACAGAAATAAGCCTGGGTTGGTTGACACACACCTGTAGGCCAGCTACTGGAAAGGCTGAGGCGAGATTATCACTTGAGGCCAGGAGGTCGAATCTGCAGTGAGCCATGATCATGCCATTGCACTCCAGCTTGGGCAACAGAGTGAGACCCTGTCTCAAAAAAAGAAAAAAAAAAAAAGGCTGGTCGCAGTGGCTCACACACCTGTAATCCAAGTACTTTAGGAGGCTGAGATGGGAGGATGGCTTGAGGGGCAGGAGTTTGAGACCAGTCTGGGCAACATACTAAGACCGGCATTGCTACAAAAAAAATTTTTAAAAAATAGCTGGGCGTGATGGCTTGAGCCCAGGAGGTCAAGACTGCAGTGAGCAATGATGGCAGGATTTTGTTTTTGTTCCCCTAATGGCACACTGATTTCAGTGCCTTTAGATCAGCCTGATAGGCTCATCGTCATCATAGTTTCAGAGGCCAGGTCCTAAATGTCAGACAGTCACTACTTTTGCCAGTTTTAGTTTCAGACACAAAGATGAGTTACAGAGACTTAAACAATGAAATCTGTTTCAGGAAAAGGATAAATAGTAAACAACAAGAATTAACACTGATAACAGTGAGGAAGTCGCCCTTTTTTGTTGTTTTTTTAAGCATTAAAAAAGGGTTTCGTATTTTTCTTAAAAATAAAACAATTTTTATTTTTGTGTTAAAATTACTTCATCGATTGAAAATAAGAGCAGGTGTGCTTTATAAATACAGTTACCAGGTTCTGTAGTGTTCTAGATTTCTGTTGATAAAATGGCTGTGTGTGTGAAAGGATCTCAGTTTACATGTATCTTGTTTTAATCACGGTGGTAACGAAGATAATAGTTATTCATGTTATAAAGAAATGATACTGTTTGAAAAGTGATCTCAGTTAACTATTGTTATTGGCTGACATAGTGATACCACATGAAACGTGAGTTGGAGGTGGCAGATTTTCCTCTGGTTTCACTTAATGACTTGGGCGTAGGTTTACAAAATGCAGCTACTCCTTCAATGCTGACTAGGCGGTTTGCTGCTGATTAATAGAAAGCTACATTTACAAGAAAAATTTCATTTGTTTTTTATACATCTGTTTGTCTTTTTATTGAAGAGTTTTTTTCTGTTTTCTTTTTTGGATCAGGGTTCCAGTTGAGCCATCTTCTCTCTTGTCACTATCAGCAAGTCACAATCAGGTAATTTTTAGTAGTTATGTTTATTTAGTTTTGCTTTTTAAACTAAGATGATTATTTTTTTCTTTTATAATACTTAAATTGCCATTAATTGCCAGATATATTTAAGCATTACCAGCTGTCTCAGTTAATATAACATATGTACGTGATACTTGCTAACAGTGTTTTTGGACACTAGATAGAAAATCTTTACCTTCGTGATAGCTTTATAGTATTAGGTTGGTACAAAAGTAATTGCAGTTTCTCCCATCACTTTCAATGGCAGAAACCACAATTACTTTTGTACCAACCTAATGTATATAAGAACGATGCAAAGATGGGAAAAGACTGGCAATAAACACATGTAAAGAAATGCTAGGTGAATTCAAAGCAAAAGTTGCATGGGTCAACAGTAGTTCCCTGAATTGATAGGGAATATTGGTAAAGTGATCCTTGTTTTTACTTTGATATGCACAATAACGCTTTGGGTCCAGCTGTCACATACAGACCTGGAACTTCATCGGAGAAGGGAGCAGTTAGTAGAGCGCACTCGGAGAGAGGCTCAGCTCGCTGCCCTGCAGTATGAAGAGGAGAAAATAAGGACCAAGCAGATCCAGAGAGATGCTGTTCTGGACTTTGTCAAAGTGAGTCCTTTGAATGACACTGTTCAAGCTGCTGAGAGGTGAAGTGCTTATTTGTTTGGCCAAGCCTGTTGGTTTTTATTGTCAATTAAAATGTCAACCATTTTTCTCTCTATAAGGAATCTTGACTAAATAGAGTGTCTCTTTTACTTGTGTCTATCTGCATAAGGATGATGGAAGTGATTATCTTATTAACAGTAATCTCTTCCTCTTATTTAGCCGTCCATCAGTGGACATGTCACTTTACTATCCAGCAGCCATTTCCTCAATTTCTGGTGTCATAGTAAAGATCAGTCACATGAGACTGATAGTGCTTTAGTAAATAATGAGTTAAGGCCCTCCAAATGTGAACTGTTACTCAGACCTCTCTCCAGCTTCCTTGCTTTAGTAAATAACAAAAGTTTGCTAGCCTCACAGGCTTTATCCTTTGCAGGAACTTTGATTTGTTCCTTTCTGTTCTCCACACACATTCAGTTAACAACCCTGTTAATATTTCTTAATATTTTGCAGCCTCTATAGTAGCGCCTGAAACAATGACATTTTATTTTACCTGTATTACTTACCTTTTTGTTCTGAAATCATTTTTTTCTTCATAATTAAATAATTGTTTGTAATTTTGTTTACTTAATATCTGTCTATCATTTATCTGTAAACTCCATGAAGATAAGAACCATGTCTGTTTTACTTACTACTGTATCCCTAGACCTTAGCAGGTTTTAGCTCATAGTAATCGTCAATAAATATTTGTTGAATGATTAAATGAATTATTCTTGTCCTCTAAAGACTTTCCTGTATTTCATACTTTAGAGACCATCTTCTTTAAGTACCATGCATATGTCTGTTTTACCTGATAAATTATTTTTTTCTGAATGTATCAGACCCTTGGTGATGATGTTTAACTCTTTCTTACCTGATTCCTCTTCATCTAACAAGTTCCCTTGTCTATTATTTTCTATCAAGATGTAGGCAAATCTGGCGGGGTATGGTGGCTCACGCCTGTAGTCCCAGCACTTGGGAGACCAAAGTGGGCGGATCACCTGAGGTCAGGAGTTTGAGACCAGCCTGGCCAACATGGCAAAGTCCTGTCTCAAGTGAAATAAAAAAATTTAGCTGGGCGTGGTGGTGCATGCCTGTAATCCCAGCTAACCAGGAGGCCGAAGTGGGAGAATTGTCTGAGCCCAGGAGGTGGAGGTTGCAGTGAGCTGAGCTGAGATCACCACCACTGCACTCTATCCAGCCTGGTCGGCAGAGTGAGACTCCATCTCAAAAAAAAAAAAAAAAAAAAATGTAGGTAAATCTTTTGACCAATAGCAAAAATACTAAAATTAATATTCCTACAACCAGAAGTTCACAAAGGTACCTCTCTTAATCCCTCCCTCAGAACCTTCCGTCTGCCCTGAGATGTTTCTTTTCGTGCCTTTTCACCCCTCGTAAGAACATTAATGTGCTGATGGCCATGTTCTCCTGGCCTCCTTTATCTCTGTCATTGTCTTTTTGTGCAAGTCATCTAATACCCACATACTGTTTCTCCTAATTTGTCCAACCATTTCTCTTTCCCTTAAATCCCTGCCTGATTTGTTACTACATAAAAATTTTTTATATAGTTCTTTTGAAACTAATGAAAATAATTCATTGGTTTATTCTTCTTAGGTCATTTGGAGGTGTTCAGGTTTCATAGATGAGGAAGCTGCAGGTGTAGGAAAATTAAGCAATGTAGTCATTTATAGTAAATTCCTTTTCATAATCAGGAGGCAAACCTAGACTTCTGAAAGCCTAACTTTGTTCGTCCATTTGACTTGAAAGACCTTTATGGAATGCTGGTTGTACAAGGAATATAAAGATGCATAAAATACAAGCCCTGCCCACCAGGCACAGCTTAGACCTTATCACAGAAAAAAACAGAAAATAAGACAGCTTGTAATAAAAGTGCTTGTTTTATATTCAAGACAATAGAAGACTTAGAGAACAAGTATCATCAGAATTGACCTCAAAAAGAAATGATACGGGACCCTGAAGAATGAGTATGTAGGATATAGCCAGGAAGAATAGACTGGATGATGGTGTAAAGGGGGGTTCGATCTAGGCTGAGGAAATCTAAACAGGATGGGAACTAGGAATGACCTTGTATGATTTGTAGGTTTAAAATAATGGTACTTGCAGGAAATACCAGCTGGCCTAGAGAGTTGGTATTGAAGACTTACGGGAAAAACGAATTATTGAGATGATGATAATACTTAAAACTTATTGAGTGCTTATTATGTACCAGGCACTATTTTAAGTACATTATATATATTTACTCATTTAATTCTCCAGCAATCTCTTTAGGTACCATTTTTTTCTTTTTATGAACAAGCTCAGAGAGAATAGCAGTTTACTAAGATTAAATACTCAGTAAGTGGCAGGATTAAAATCCTATTATTAGAACAAGGCAGGTTGGCTCCAAAGCCTGTTTTGTGAGCACAGTCCATGCCGCCTCTCGGTAATAATGGTTAACACTGAATCCTAAATGCTGTTCTATGTGCTTTGCATAAATTAACTCATTCAGTTTGCCTTCTACAGAAGTCACACAGCTAGTAAGAGATAGTCAACTTGTAGAGAGTCTTGATTAAATGTCAGGTTAGTGTTGGATCTTGATCTGTTAAGTAAAAGAGAATGCTGAGTTTCAAAGCAGGAAAAAGACGAGAGAGAGACTTCTGAAACACGCATGTACTCGTGTTAGAATCGGTTAGGAAGAAAGAGACTAGAAAGAGGAAACTAAAGAAGAGAGAAACTGCAATAGTTAGACTAGGGTGTGAAATAAGGCATAGAAACCAGATGGCTTCTGAGGGTACTAAGGGTCGGCAGTATTGCACAGAGACAAGAGCCTAAGTTCAGAAATTTCTGAATTTGAGTCCAGCTTTGCCACTTGCTGTGTGCTTGACTTTTAGAAAGTTGCTGAGCCATTTTATGCCTTTAGCTTCCTCCTGTGTGTGATATTTAACTCTGAAATATTAACTATTTCAGAATTATTATGGATATACTTAATGCTTAATACTAGTATGGTAGATGCTATATCCCCTATTACTATCATAAAGTGGATTTGCTGAATTCCCTGTAAGAGAGATGATGAATAAATCGCTGAAGAGGGTGAAAGAAAAGAAGCTCCCAAGGCAAGGTTTGGAGGCTAAAAGAATGGTTTCAAATGAGGGGCTCGCATTGTGGAAAGAGCGCAGGCTCTGCCGTTGGAAGACAGGCGCAAACCTCAGTTGTGCTACTTATGAACTTGGAGACCTTGCACGTGCCGCATAGCCTCTCCTCGATTTTCTCATCTCTAACTGAATATGATGATGATATTTTATCTCACACAGTAGAAGAATCACTGAAATACTGTGTACACAGTGACGTGGTAGAGTACATTGTAAAGCAGGGACCACAGCAATGCTATCATGTTATTATTAGATGATTAGATATCACACATTGGAGAAAATAGCCAGTTAGTATGGGACATTGTGAGTTTGTTTTTGAATATGTCAGATATGAGGTGGAGTGGGGTTTCCAAGTAGAGAGTTTCCACAGGCAGTTGAAAACACAAACCTGAGATTTGCTTCTAGCTAAAGTTATTACCATTCGAGTGATACTGAAGCCATTAGAGGGAGAGAATAAGTTCACTGAGGGAAGGTCAGTATTCTGATTGTAAACGTGTTTCTGTAGGTATATGTATAGTTTTTAAAATTTCTAACTAAACATGTTCTAACTAGTAAATCTAGAAAAATGCTATATACAAGAGGTAGAAAAATTAATGTGAGTGATTATTTTAGTAAATGTAATTTTTTATTTTCCGTGTTCCAGACTCTAACCAGCTTCCTTTTTTGGGGGGTTTTGGGGTTATATAGCAAAAAGCATCACAAAGTCCACAAAAACAGCAACCCCTCCTAGATGGTGAGGTAAGTTGAAGTAATCACCTTTTCTTTGAAATTGATTATTTTTGCAATGCAAATGAAATGTTTACATGTAATTATCATCTTTTCAGTGCTTTTTGAATATTGCCACTTTTCTTTTTCCCCCTCACAAAATTCTGCTTATGAGGGAGATGATACAAGCCAAGGAGTTTATTAGAATCTATGGATCAAGGCTTTTTTCAGCTATACACATCCATCTAGAGATTATATTTCCCTCCCTGACCCCCACCAGAGGCACCATCCCCCTCCTCCATTTTTGAAGCGTGGTGTGTAGAGTCCTAGGAGCTTTACCTGGTACAGGTAAATGGAGCGGCTACTGAACAAAAAAAGACTCTTACATAGTATTTCAGATTCAGTGTTATCAGTGATAACACTTATTTTATAGTATCAAATAGTACATTTTTGTTACAGATTAACAGAAAATAAATCACTTAACCTTTGAAAAATCTACACACCTATTTTGATCTGTTAAAATGAAGCTTTTACTAAATGTTTTTATTGTAATTGGCTTTCTCATTAACCATTTTCCCTTTAAAAGCCTTCCAGTTTTTTCTTTCTTTTTTTTTTTTGTTCCTTTCTTTTTCTTTTTTTTGAGACGGAGTCTCACGCTGTCACCCAGGCTGGAGTGCAGTGGCGCGATATTGGCTCACTGCAACTTCCACCTCCCGGGTTCAAGTGATTCTCCTGCCTCAGCCTCTGAGGAGCTGGGATTACAGGCGCCACCACGCCCGGCTAATTTTTGTATTTTCAGTAGAGACAGGGTTTCACCATGTTGGTCAGGCTGGTCTCGAACTCCTGACCTTGTAATCCTCCCGCCTTGGCCTCCCAAAGTGCTGGAATTTCAGGCGTGAGCCACTGCGCCTGACCCAGTTTTTTCAATTTATGATCATTACCTCCTTGAAAAATGCATAAAAGCGTTGTTTCATGTGAATTTTGACTTTGCTTTTCATAAAATAAGTTATTTGAAAACCTAACACCTGGGGCTTTACAAGTAGCAATTTTCTGTGTTTTTAAAGCACAAGAGTTTCTGGTAAGGGAAAGTGTATTGTTTGAAATGCTTTCAGTTGTCCATGATAAAGGTTTTTTAAAGCACAAGTGTTTCTGGTAAGGGAATGTGTATTGTTTGAAATGTTTTCAGTTGTCCATTATAGAGGTTTTTTAAAAATTTTATCATAGAACTACTACTAGTTTTTTTTGTGTTAGAACATTATATATTTGTATAATACCTGAAAGATTGACTCCAGCCTGGTCACTTGTGTTTTCTTCACCTGGTAGTAATTCTAACACATTTTTGACAACCAAAGTTTGATAAATTTAATATATGTTTTCTTTTTTACCCAATATTTCCTTCTTGATGATTGTTTTCAAGTAATTCATTCTCAAGAAAACTAAAGCTCCACAGGAAAAGAACATAAACAGTTCTAAAAATTGTAATCGTACTTTTCATTTTGCTTGAGAAAGAAAATGAAGAGATACTTAGACTACAAATTATGACCCCTGGGCTACTGGTCTGTCACTGGCTCACTAAATGACTGCAGGTTCTTTATGTTATTGTTACGTCTCTCTCCAGCTTTCTGCTCCCTCCTTGCTTTGGAAGGTTTTAGGCAGTAAGATCCAATTTGAAGTTGTTTAAACTCTGGGAGAAAATCAGTACTCAGAACCAGCTTACTGACTATTATAATACGTGAATTCCAGATGATTGTGAATGTGGTCCTCTATGTCAACATCTTCAAAAGTATGTCTTAATATGTCTCTTTCCTTGTGTGTGTATTTGTGAAATACGTCACACGTGTGCGTAGTTTGTTTTTGACATTGCTTCATTTTTCTCACCTCTCCAGTGCCCCTTCCCATCCAGAAGGTCTCAGCACACTGATGATAGTGCCTTGTTAGTGGTAAGAGTTTCGCACAAAATGGAGTTTTACGTTTCTGTGTTTAGAGATTAAAGGATAGCTCTTGTACTTTTTATTCAGAAACTATATCTAAATACCATAAAACATGATGAGCATCATTACTAAATGCTTTATAAAGAACTAAACCATTTTCCCACATGACTATTTGTGACTGACCCAGTGTTTCAAAGTCAGAGTCCTGCGGCTCATGTCTTCGTCAGGGCCACCAAGAGTCAAACATTTGCATTGAGAACCATATTGGCTTTGTGTGTGTGCTGGGGACAGAGGCATAACATAATATTCATGTTTTAAATGTGTCTAATTCCAGGAGCACTTACTTTATTCATCATTAATTTGGCGCATGGGTCACCTGTATGTTAAGGTGGCCCATGACACTGATTGCACAACTGTGTATTTGACATCCTATTTTATTATGTATTTTCAGCTACAGAAAATCCTTCACTTTGGTTTTAAATACTTACATCTCAAGATTATTCCTTCATGTTCATTTTTTAAACTTAAGGAAACAACTACTGATCATGTTTAACACTGGTTTACTTTTATTGCCTGTTTCATCAGCTGAAAATGAGTATAAGATGGAAAGTTTATTTAAAGCCTTACTTTTATTAGCCTTGCGAGAGAATTCTAACCGTTTATAGAATTTCTTTCCCCATCATGTTTTATGTTATTTTTTTCATAGTAGTGCGGTTCAGAAGTCTCGTATCTACAGCAGTTCTGTCTCGTGCTAGTAACTGCTGCCAGGCTGCATATACTACTGCATGAGCTGCATGCTTCAGCGTGACATTCCTGTGACACAAACTTCCATGGTCTGTTCACACTTCTGTGTATTCTGCAATCTTCATTCCCTTTGAGATGGATAAAACACCTTTTAACTGGGCAGTCTTATAGGTGAATACAGTCATCAGACTCTAGAGTTTTAGTGTAAGTGAATTGGCCTAAGAAGCAAATAACAAGTTAAAAATTAGACAAATATTGAGAGCCTCCGATGATCCAAACACTTACCAAAATTATCTCGTTTGTTCCTCACAGCAACCTTAAGAGTGAAAGTTAAATTTAGCACGTTTTTACAGATGATTTCTGAGGCCCACAATGTGGCTTGTCCAAGGTCGCATAGATAGTAAGTGCAAGGCTGGGAATCCACATCTGTCTGGCTTATCGGAGGACCTGCATTCAACACCGGGCTGTCGCTGGAAACCGTTTAGGAAACTGAAGGGTTAATAACACATGTAATAAGTAGTATAAGTCTGAGTGCCAAGACTCTTTTGTCAAGGAAATAGTGGAATTTAGAAAAACAACAACAGCAAAATCCCCTTAGTGTGTAACTTGAAATTCCCTTCAGCCATTTGTCAAAACACATTCCCTTATAGTTTTAGCTACCAGTATTCATATCTGATCCTCTAAATTAGATGGCCTTTAAAAGCAAGGAATTTCTTCTAAGTATGATGACCTTTAAAAGCACATCTCACATTTCTTTGTATGCCAAATGTCCAACCAACACTGTGCAAAAAGAGTCATATTTTAAATAAAACCTCATCTTACCAAAACTATGCTTCAGAAGGCTTCCTATTGCTTCGAGTGGAGTCTAAATGTGGCCTCAAAGCTCCTTCGTGCTCTGTCTACTGCCTCCATCTCCAGTCTCCTCTCTGGGCTTTTGCTATACCAGCATTTTTCCAACTCTTCAAATATCATAAGCCCTTTCCCATCTCAGACCTTTGCAAATGCTGTTTCTTTTACATAGAATGCCTTTTCCTCCCTGCGTATACCCCTTGATTAATTCCTGTTCATCTCTCAGGTATTTGTTGGAGTGTCCCATCTTTAACATGGCTTTTCTGCAGCTCACTGCCCTTACGTCAGCCCACAGCTGGACAGTTAAATAAACTGACAGGAGCTCTAGTACATTTGATGAAAAGGAGGCCCAGGAAGTATACTTGGTGTGTTACTGTTGTCACAGCAGTTTTTTTTAAATCATGGTGCTTTTATTTGGGTGTTTTTTATTTTTTATTTTTATTTTATTTTTAATTTAATTTTACTTTTTAAAAAATTTTTATTTATTTATTTAATTATTTTGTGACAGAGTCTCCCTCTGTTGCCCAGGCTGGAGTGCAGTGGCATGAACATGGTTCCTTGAAGCATCAGCCTCCTGAGTAGCTGGGACTACAGGTGCTCGTGCCACACGTGGCTAATTTTTAAATTTTTTGTAGAGTCAGGGTCTCATTGTGTTGCTCAGGCTGGTCTCTAACTCCAGGGCTCAAGCAATCCTCCTGCCCCAGCCTCCCAAAGTGCTGAGATTACAGGCATGAGCCACTGTGCCCAGCTTGTTTATTCTTTTATTATCTCTTTTCTTTTGGACTACTGGACTATAAGCTTCATGAGCACAAGGATATTTTATTTTGTCTTAATATACTTAATTTACTCCATCCCTACCACCGTTCCTGGGATATATTAGGTGGTCAGTAAATATTTCCTGAATGAACACATAAATTCTGTGTATCTACTGGTTATTATATTGTTTCATGATGAAAAGGTCTGATGAATGATATCCTAAGGTAAATGCTGAATTTGATCTAAAGACCTTGAAACATAGGATTTGAAATAAAGATTTATAACAGCTAATATCAGTTACGCTGACATTCTCTTCGGGCTACCCCTCAAGCTCCTGTTGCTTTCGTCTGTATCAGGTCTCATGAGGCTCATTTTACCTCTTCTTCATCCACTCCTAGTTTTCCTTTTCATATTTGACATTGACAGTCGTTCCAGTACCTCTGATTAAAAAGTAGGCCCAGGCAATCTAAACCCCAGAAGCATACACAGTGTGTTACCATTGTCACAGTTGTGTTCTGTGGTATATTTTTATCTTCACTATTTGCTGCCTTAAGATAGATTTTGTGATACATGTAATACATTGTGTGTTAACATGCTTCTTTTGTCAAATAAAAATATGTTAATTCTCATTAAAAATACAGTCGTATTTATTTTATTGACCATATACATACCTTTTCCTAAACACCCATTTGTTTTCTTGTTCATTTATCTCATGGTTTAGAAATTTGTTGTCCTAGTTTAAATTTTTAAAAATTACTTATAAAGACTTCACTATTTTTAAGCTCTTGGCATTTTGTTGTTTTAATAGGTAAAACCTTACCCAGTGCCCTTTGTGACAGTGTTGTCTTCTCTGATTTCCACTCCGTGTGGCAAAGGAGAAAAATTGTCATGTTTTGAGCATCTCTTACCTATAATCAAAATTCTATATAATAAATACTTTAAAATTTTTTCTTTTTAATTGACAATAATTATATATATGCAATCTAACTGTATCTCCAGTATATCTAACCAGCTGTATGTTGGTTGGTGAAAGATAAAGGATTCGAAGAAAAAGGAAATTCCACCTTCCTCTCTTACAGTCAGTGGGAGTTTCACAGAGGCAGAGATGAAATGCCGGTTCCTCCTTCAGGTTGATGCAGAATCCTCACATCCTCATTATACCTAATTTGGATTAATGTTGAAAAAATATTGTTTTTATTCATACCAGTTCTGCTTGGTTAAAATCCCCCATCATAGGAACAGGACTCATTTGTTTCAAGGCTACTATGCTAAAATTGTTGATGTCCTGTTTTATTTCTGCATAAAATCATTTTTAGTAAATCATACCTCCCATTTCTTGATTAGTGTGGCATGAGGTACTGAGACTATCCTGAATTACACAAGTGGAAAAACTGTGTTGATGGGTTTTTGTCCCCCAAGTGTTCTCTTTCTGGCCTGTCAATAGCTTAGTAAACCATTGGAAAGACTGTCCGTGACCTTTCCTTTTCTCATTTCACTGGTCAGATCTGCCTGCCTGACAGTTGCTAATATCAGTGCTGCCTTCTGTTTCTTCTCTTTCTCATTTGAAATGCAGTCGCTGTCAGGTCTGAATCAAGTGGGTTGTGCTGCTCCCCTGCCTCATTCTTCTGCCTTCACACCTCTTAAGGTATCTCTTGTTATTGTAATTCACCAGGAAGTTTGGGGAGGGGGTACATATAAGGCCTTGAAGTTTTCAGTGAATTGATCTAACAATCTGAAATATAGGATCATATAAATATACCTGTTTATGAAACTGAGTTTAACGTTGATTTCCCTTGAAATTGTTTGAAAGTTTTACGATGCTAGAGACAGTCACAGAGCTCATATTAATTCTTTGTATTCAGATTCTGTTTGATGTGTCATTCTGATTTTTTTATCAAAGGTTTTTTTGTCTTGAGTTATTATTTCACTTTGGTTAGCATATAATATAATATCGAATTAACTCTGTTGTCTAATGTGCATGCAAAATAATGTGAGTCCAAAAACACTATCACCACCAAAACCCCTACCATAGGGTTAACCAATTATGGCCCCTAGGCCACTTGTTTTTTTAAATAAAGCTTTATTTTTATATAACCAATCCCTTGTGTTTATGCATTGCCTATGGCTGCTTGCATAGTAAACAGCTGAGGTGGAATAATTGTGACCAAGATCATGTACCTGCAAGCCTAAAATATGTAGAGTCCGGCCCTATAAGAAAAAAATCGCAACCCCCTGCTTTTTTCAACAATAATGTCGTAAGAGATGATACATTCCACCTTCTGGAAAAATTTAAACTCTAAAAATTAAAACCTGTAGTATTTTGTATTTTGAAGGCCTCTAAGGAATCTAAATAATTCCTTATTTGTTGTCACTGGATATGTACAAAATGATGAACAGTTCTCACTGTCAAGAAGTCCTTTGTCTAACTTACAACTGTCCTGCTATGGTTTATACTTGGTTTCTTTTCAGAGTGGAGATTTTCTAGTTATTTAGCATTTTTTAGTGTAAGAATCCTTTTTTTTTTTTTTACACAAAATACAAATTTTTTAATGTAAGAATTTAAAAACAATTACGATGCCATCCTTAGCTTCTTCCTCAATAAACTCAGATCCTTTTACATGCCTTTCCCAGCCTGTTAATCTTTAATGAATTTTCACAAGTTCTCTGCCCTCCATTCTGGCTTCATGGTCCACGACTAGAAATACATCCCTCATTAGAGCTTGCTCATTTAGGGCGATTTTTAAATTTTTGATCTTCATTTTGCCCAGTATCCACTGTAATTCTCAAATGTTTTAATTATACCTCTTTCATGTGTTGAGACAGGGTCTTGCTGTGTCTCCCAGGCTGGATCCTCCCACCCTAGCCTCCCGAGTAGCTGGGAATACAGATGTGCACCACCATGCCGGGCTAATTTTTTAAGTTTTTGTAGAGACAAGGTCTCACGGTATTGCCCAAGCTGGCCTCAAACTCCTGGGCTGAAGAGATCATCCTGCCTCAGCCTCCCAAAGTACTAGGTGTCAGCCACTGTGCCCAACCGCCTTCAACTTCTCAGTGACACTTACTTTCCTCGTGTTGTATTCTTTATTTTTTCCTGAAAATTTAATTTTGGTGTTTGAATATTTTTACTTGTCTAATGTACCAGAATACTTTCAAATTGTTGCATTGAGCCAGGCACACTGGCTCACACCTGTGATCCCAGAGTTGGGAGCCTGAGGAGGGGGGACTACAGTTGAGGCCAGGAATTCAAGGCTGCAGTAGCTGCGATCACACCACTGCACCCCAGCCTGGGACAGTGCAAGACTGTGTCTCTAAAAACATTAAAACCGAATTCTTGTATCATGCCCTTTTTCTTTTTTTTTAGTTTTTAATTTTTGTGGGTACATAGCAAGTATGTATATGGGGTTCATGAGGTATTTTGATATAGGTATACAATGCGTAATAATTACATCAGGTAAACGGGCTGTCCATCACCTCAAGCATTTATCCTTTGTGTTACAAACAATCCAATTATACTCCTTTAGTTATTTTTAAATGTACAATTAAATTATTGACTATGATGACCATTTTGTACTATCAAATGCTGGATCTTATTCTTTTTATTTTTTTTGGACCCATTAACTATCCCCATTTCCTCCTGCCACCCTCCCGCTACCTTCCCAGCCTCTGGGAACCCTCAGTTTAGTCTGCATCGTGTTTTTTTAAATGCTGACCCCAACTTTTTTTTTTTTTTTGAGACGGAGTTTTGCTCTTGTTGCCCTGGTCAGAGTGCAATGGCACGATCTCGGCTCACTACAACCTCTGCCTCCTGGGTTAAAGCGATTGTCCTGCCTCGACCTCCCGAGTAGCTGGGATTATAGGCGCCTGCCACCAAGCCCGGCTAATAACCTCAACTTTATAACAACTGTAAATCTAAGAAACCTTCTCTGGTTATTATTGAACATATGCTACATACCTGGATGCCTCCTGAAAATCTTTATAATTCTCTTCCATATTAAACCTTTGCTAGCCGTTCTCAACTGGGACCCTTATTGGAACAACACAGAAAATTGTTTCAGAAACTTTTTTTCAAAATTATCTCAAGGAAGGTACATAACTAGCACCATTCTAGTTGTATGGGAGAGAAGGGAACTTGTACGCCGTGAATGCCTTCAGGCATTGTGGCTTATTCAGAGTCATAACTGAGAATTGTTTTGACTGTGCCAAAAGCCGTGTGATCCAGACAGACCACATTGTCTTGTTCTACGGTGACTGTCATGTGAGATTAAATAGAAAACTTTATTAGACTTTAGATAAGTCTTTTTTCTATCAGACCTGCTGTATTGTCAAATGATTATTTTAAAAGATTTATTCTTTATTTTTTAGTTTCTGTATTACTTTCACAGCGGTTATACATTATACTTATGAATTTATTTCTTTTATTGCTTAGCCAGGCGTAAAAGTTGAGTTTGTATCAGTTTCTGAGGTTTTCTTTCCGTTGCCTAAATTCTCTAGTGAGAGATTATTTCTTAACCTTTTTTTGCTCTCCAGTTTTCTAGGAGTTCCCAAATGTAGTTAATAGCCTCACAGTGATTTATGCTAATTATTTTGGTATCCTAGAATGCAAGTCACTTAAATTTACAGCTTTAATAAAAATACATTTCAGAAACCATTTTTACAGGTCTCCTCTATTCTGGCTTTGTTTTCATCATATCCAGTTGTGTATTATTTGTTGCTGTTTTTTTTTTTTTTTTCCTTTGAGATGGAGTCTTGCTCTGTCACTCAGGCTGGAGTGCAGTGGTGAGATCTCGGCTCACTGCAACCTCCGCCTCCCAGTTTCACGTGATTCTCTCACCTCAGCCTCCCGGGTAGCTGGGATTACAGGCACATGCCACCACGCCTGGCTAATTTTTGTATTTTTAGTAGAGATGGGGTTTTACCATGTTGGCCAGGCTGGTTTCAAACTCCTGACTGCAGGCAATCCACCCACCTCTGCCTCCCAAAGTGCCGGCATTACAGGTGTGAGTCACTACACCTGGCCTGTTGCTGTTTCAAACCGAAGGGAGAGAACATTTGCTGCCCTTCAGTGTTGTTCGTTGTTTGTTTCAGCTCTTCTTTCTCATCTAATAAAGTCGCCTATTAACTTTCTCCTTTTACTCCTTAATACGTTTAAATTTCCAGTCTGTGTTCTATAAATAAATGTTTAAGTTTTTGAAAATATTTTTTCCTCCATGTCTAGAATAATCTCTACCTTGAATGTTTCTCTTTTTGTGTTATTGGTCCTTGAACATGTCTTTGTTTAACCAACTTTCTACTTGTTCACAGCCCTTGAAAATAAACATAGTCTTTTACTTCCTTATAAAGATACCTGGCTTTTGCCTCATTTACCTGTTCATTCCTTTTATCAGTTTCTGTTACTCTTGTTTGAATTTCTTATTTAAATTTCCATTTTTTCTCAACACCTAGAACTTAGTTTACTTGCATCTATAAACCCGATGAACGTGTCTTTTTCACTTAAGATGTGAACACACTGCCTTACTCACGAGCGCAGCTCACCCGGAACTTAGTTTACTGGCATCTATAACCCTGACAGACATGGCTTTTTCACCTAAGATGTGAGCGCTCTGCCTTACGAGCACAGCTCACCCAGAACTTAATTTACTGGCATCTGTAACCCTGACAAACATGGCTTTTTCACCTAAGATGTGAGCGCTTTGCCTTACGAGCGCAGCTCACAGTTTAAATCTTAGTTCTCAACCTGTGATATCAAAGTAAGGAATTGTTACCAGAAAATTGTCTCCAGGTGAGTCTTAAGAATTTTCTCAATAGATGGCCTTGGTTTATTTATTTATTTATTTTTAGCAGTTAAAATTATTTGTCATCATTAATGTATCTGACCCAACTCTAAGTAGCGATGTAAGAGTTCTGAAAATATTGAAGCCAATGGTGGGGAAAGCATGGGAGCAGATGTGTATGTTTGTGTTAGTTTTAGGGTCATTATGTCCAGAAATGTGCCTTAGTTGCATCATAAAGTTATAATATATTTAGATTATATTTCAAGGCAATTAGATATCAAGGCCTAGAAAACTGTTAATGTTATTCTAGCTTTTTATTTGTTTGTTTGTTTGAGACAGAGTTTTGCTCTGTCGCCCAGGCTGGAATGCACCATCTCGGCTCACTGCAACCTCCACCTCCGTGTTCCAGTGATTCTCCTCCCAAGTAGCTGGGACTACAGGTGCCCGCCACCATGCCTAGCTAATTTTTTTATTTTTAGTAGAGACGGGGTTTCACCATGTTGGCCAGAACGGTCTTGATCTCTTGACCACGTGATCTGCCCACCTCAGCTCCCAAAATATTGGGATTACATGCGTGACCCATCGCGCCCTCTGGCTTTTCTTAATTGTACTCCCCTGCCAAGTCTTCAACATCTTTAACCCAGTCAACCAACATTTCTTTGTAAATTAGCTTAACTACATTTCCCTTTCTTTAGGTAAGCTTTGTAACTGTTTAGCTAGTTCTTCCTTCTTTTTACAGTTCTTTTGGTCAATGAATTGAAAATGTCTTGGACTCAAATACTAGTGTAGAAAATATATCTATCATCTCTTAAACATCTTCTTTCCTAACTGAAATTAGGGAACTGTATTACTTTTTGAAAATATTAAATTTTATTATCCAGAGAAAAAAGTACTTTAGAAACTATTATGGAGAAATACTATTAGAAAATAAAATATTGCTTTTTCTTTCTCATATATTTCCCAGTAACATTTTCTGTCTTAGGATGATCATTTTTCATAGTCTTAGGAAGAGCTTGTTAAATAATGGACTGTCTTTATATAAACACGACTAGGCCGGGCATGGTGGCTTATGCCTATAATCCCAGCACTTTGGGAGGTCGAGGCAGGTGGATCACCTGAGATCAGGAGTTTGAGACCAGCCTGATCAACATGGAGAAACCCTGTCTCTACTAAAATTACAAAATTAGCTGGGCGTGGGGCACATGCCTGTAATCCCAGCTACTTGGGAGGCTGAGGCAGGAGAATCACTTGAACCTGGGAGGTGGAGGTTGTGGTGAGCCGAGATTGCTCCATCGCACTCTAGCCTGGGCAGTGAGAGTGAAACTCCATCTCAAAAAAAAAAAAAAAAAGCCGGGCGTGGTGGCTCATGCCTGTAAGCCCAGCATTTTGGGAGGCCGAGGCAGGTGAATCACCTGAGGTCGGGAGTTCTAGAACAGCCTGACTAACATGGAAAAACCCCATCTGTACTAAAAATACAAAAAAATTAGCCAGGCGTGGTGGTGCACGCCTGTGATCCCAGCTACTTGGGAGGCTGAGGCAGGAGAATCACTTGAACCCGAGAGGCAGAGGTTGCGGTTTGCCAAGATTGTGCCGCCTGCACTCCAGCCTGGGCGATAAGAGCAAAACTCCGTCTCAAAATAAAATAAAATAAAATCTTGCTTTTAAAAATACAGAATTAATTCATTTCACCAAATCCTCATTTCTTTTTCTTCTTCTTCTTCTTCTTTTTTTTTTTTTCTTTTTTTTAAAGAGGGGGTCAGGCTAGGCACGGTAGCTCATGCCTATAATCCAGCACTTTGGGAGGCTGAGGCAGGTTCATCACTTGAGCTCAGGAGAGTGAGACTAACCTGGCTAACGTGGCAAGAGCCTGTCTCTACAAAAAATACAAAACCGGGCATGGTGATATACTCCTGACTACTTGGGAGGCTGAGGTAGAAGGATCACCTGAGCCTAGGAGATCATGCCATTGCACTCTAGCCTGGGTGACAAGAGTGAGACCCTGTCTCAAAAAGAGAGAGAAAGAGAGTCTCCCTCTGTCACCCAGGCTGGAGTGCAGTGGCGCAGTCATAGCTCACTGCAGCCTTTAATTGCTGGGCTCAAAGAATCCTCCCACCTCAGCCTCTACAGGAACACACCACCAGGTCTGACTCATTTTTTAAATGTTTTGTAGAGACAGGGTCTCGCTATGTTGCCTCGGCTGGTCTCCTGCTCTCAAGTAATCCTCCCACCTCAGCCTCCAAAAGTACTGGGATTACAGGCACGAGCCACCATATCTGGCCCAAATTCTCATCTCTAGACTTAATCGTGAAGGAGAGTTACCTGTTTTTTGTCTTTTATAATTTCAAAATTACCATAAAAGTAGAAAGTATTTCTTCTTGAGTAACAATTATTGATATATGTCTGTTTCTCCACAGAGTGATGACAGACCTAATACTCTATTAAGTTCACCTACAACAGAAACAGGTAATAGACACAAAGGTGCACTTTACCACATCAAGATTATAATTCTTTATTCTTTTTATTTAAAAAATAATAATAAATAGAGACAAGGCCTTTCTATGTTGACCAGGGTGATCTCAAGCTCCTGGGCTCAAGGTGAGCCTCCTGCCTTGTCCTCCCAAAGTGCTGGGATTACAGATGTCAGCCACAGCACCCTGCCAAGATTATAATTTTTTACCAAGATTTTCCTAAATTACTTGTTAGAGAGCTGCGACTGAGATAGAAATCAGATACAGAATTGGAAACCACTGGGGTTTTTTCCCCCCCATTTTTAAATTAAATTGGTTGTTCAGCTCGTCAGCCATTTGATATGAGTAAGTGAACAACAGCTAGCAGGGCCATAGGTCTGCAGGAGACTGTTCAGTACGTTAGCATTCATTCTGCCTGTATTGATACACCAAAAATAACATGACAGTGTAAAATACATACAAGCAGGCCTCCTGCTTTCATGATTACTTTTCTGTACCAGACTTTTCATTATTAAATAGGATTATTTTATATCTTTGCCATGTTTAATTTTATTTTTTACTTGCTACTTTTGTAACTTGTATGTCTGCTATTATATTTTCTTTTCATCTCCTTTAATCTCATTTTACTTTTCATGCTGATTTAGTTCATCATTCCTCTGCATATGCTTTTCCTGCTGCTATCCAGAGAAATCAGCCTCAGCGCCCTGAAAGCTTCCTTTTCCGAGCAGGTGGCAGGGCAGAAGCCAACAAAGGTAGGTGGTAGTGATTTTAAAAGCCAGGGGCGAGGGGAGGTTTGCACAATGACGCTAGCCGTTAAATGGATGCTTTTAAACTTCTACACCAAACTCTCAGCTTGGCAAAAGCATGTGTCTGTGATCTCACTGATATTAAAGCAGGAAAATCTTACCTGAATTTGTTTGGATTAGAAAGTTTCTTAGTAACACCTAAAAGCAGGTTATAGAGTGTTTGAACAAATAAAATGCTGTTTCAAGGCTTTAGAGAATGTTCTTTGTCTTGGTAATGAACTCATTCACATTTTTCTATTGATAAAAGCTGTTTTCTTAAAACAATTTTTTAAAAATCTACTTAAAATCTCATGTTCTTTTAGTTAATAATGACAGATTTCTCCCTGGTCCCAAAGAAGTTACCTGGGAGTGGAAACAAACATTTTAAGTCAAAAATAACGACTTTTGTCATGGTGGTGTGTGCCTGTGGTCCCAGCTACCTGGGGGGCTGGCAGGGAGGATTGCTTGAGTCCAGGAGTTCAAGGTTGCAGTGAGTTATAATTAAAAGCACCACTGTTCTCCAGCTTGACCAACAGAGCAAGACTGTGTCTCTTAAAAAAAAACAAAACAAAAATAAGGTCAGGCGTGGTGGCTCACGCCTGTAATCCCAGCGCTTTGGGAGGCCGAGGAAGGCAGATCACTTGAGTCAGGAGGCCAACATGGCAAAACCCTGTCTCTACTAAAAATACAAAAATTGGCTGGGCACGCTGGCTCACACCTGTAATCCCAGCGCTTTGGGAGGCCAAGGCGGGCAGATCACATCAGTCAGTTCATGACCAGCCTGGCCAGCATGGTGAAACCCCATCTCTACTGAAAAGATACAAAAATTAGCTGGGCGTGGCAGCAGGCGCCTGTAATTCCAGCTACTCAGGAGGCTGAGGCAGGAGAATCTCTTGAACCTGGGAGCCAGAAGTTGCAGTGGGCCAAGATGGCGCCACTATACTCCAGTCTGGGGGACAGAGTTAAGACCATGTCTCAAAAAAACTGGCCAGGCATGGTGGCAGGCGCCTGTAATCCCAGCTACTTGGGAGGCTGAGGCAGAGAGTCCCTTGAACCCAGGAGGTGGAGGTTGTAGTGAGCTGAGATTGCGCCACTGCACTCCAGCCTGAATGACAGTGTGAAACTTATGTCTCAACAAAAATTTAAAAATAGGCGAGGCGTGGCGGCACATGCTTGTAATCCTGGCACTTTGGGAGGTCGAGGTAGGTGGGATCACTTGAGCTCAGGAGTTCGAGACCAGCCTGTGCAACATGGCAAAACCTGTCTCTTAAAAAAAAAAACAAAAAATTGGCGGGGTGCGGTGGCTCATGCCCGTAATCCCAGCACTTTGGGAGGCCAAGGTGGGTGGATCACGAGGTCAGGAGATCGAGACCATCCTGGCTAACACGGTGAAACCCCGTCTCCACTAAAAATACAAAAAAAATTAGCCGGGCGTGGTGTTGGGCGCCTATAGTCTCAGCTACTCGGAAGGCTGAGGCAGGAGAATGGCATGAAGCTGGGAGGCGGAGCTTGCAGTGAGCCGAGATTGCACAACTGCACTCCAGCGTGGGCAATAGAGTGTGACTCCATCTCAAAAATATATATATATATACATATTAGGCATGGTGGTGCAGACCTGTAGTCACAGCTACTTGGGGGACTGAGGTGGGAGGAAGGATTGAGCCCAGGAGGTTGAGGCCTGAAGTGAGTCAAGATTGCGCGACTGCACTCTGGCTTAGGTGACAAAGTAAAACCCTGTCTCAAAAAAACCAGAAAAACACAACTTACCTTTAATGTTACCAACAGATGCATTCGCAGTAAGATTTAAAAGTCAAACTACAGATGCACTGCTGGTAAGAGTGTAAGAAAGCATGGAAGACTGTTAACAGTCAGCCTCCGTACCCTCGGATGCTGTATTTATGGATTCGACCAGTCATGGACAGAAAAGTTCAGAAACAAGACAACAATAATAAACAATGCCACAATAAAGAAATAATACAAATTTTGAAATATAGTAACAGTTTGGCATTTACATTATATGAAATAAGTAATATAGAGATGAGTTAAAGTGTAGTATAAAGGAGGATATGCATAGTTTGTATGCAAACAATACTACATTTTATATGAGTGACTTGAGGATTCACCAAGTTTGTTATGAGAGTGAGGGGCAGTTTCTGGAACCAGTTTCCCCTGGATACTTAGGGATGACTGTGTATCCTATGACCAGCAGTTTTACTTTTGAGAAATATGTACACACGTGTGCCAAAAACGTACAAAAATATTCATAGTAGCATTATTCATAAGAGCCGGAAACTGAATGTCCATCAATAGAATGGATAAGTGAATTGTCGTATATTTGTACAACGGAATACCATGTAAGCAATGAAAATGAACAAATTCCTGTATACAGCAACATGGATAAATCTCACAAACATACCATTGTTCAAAGGAAGCCAGAAACAAAAGAACACATACAATACAGCATAATTTATACAAAGTTCAAAAATGAACCAAACCAGTCAGTGTGTTAGAAGTCAGGATGCGGTTTTGAGCACTTTGGGTGCTTGTGGGCAAGGAGCACGGAAGGGGACCCTGGGATTGGTAAGACTGCATTTATAAACCTGATTGTGTTCACTTGGTGAGGAGAATTTATTGAGCACTGTGCTTACGATTTGTTTATTTTTCTGTATGTGTATTAATTTTCAATAAAAACATTTTTAAGTGGCTGTAATCAAACACAAGTAGTTGAGTCAACTGGGTAACGAACATTACGTAGTTTTCTATACTATTCTCTGTTGTGTATATTTGAAAATCTCCATAGTAAAAGCCCTTTTGAAAAGTCAATCCGGAAAGTAGGAAGCAATATAGTGTGCTTGCAGGAAAACTGTAATGAGGCAGATCTGAATGTTTTCCTAGCACTGCCAGTTGCCTTTCTGTCTTACATATTAATATTTGTATAGGTCATGCTTCACCCCTTCCTCCATCTGCTGCACCTACCACTGATTCTGCAGATTCCATAACAAGACAGAATTCAAGACAGAGAGAAGAAGAGCTGGAATTAATAGATCAGCTGCGTAAAGTATGTACATTGCCTTTGATTTATACTTTTTCAGTGTTACTGCTATAGACCATAATCCTGTAATCAGGTCTTGATTTGACACATCATTTTTATTTATTTATTTTTTTAGACGGAGTCTCGCTCTGTCACCCAGGCTGGAGTTCAGTGGCGCGATCCTGGGTCACTGCAGCCTGTGCTTCCTGGGTTCCAGCAGTTCTTCTTCCTCAGCCTCCTGAGTAGCTGGAATTATAGGTGCCCATCACTGCACCCAGCTAATTTTTGTATTTTTAGTAGAGAAGAAGTTTCACCATGTTGGCCAGGCTGGTCTTGAACTCCTGACCTCAGGTGATCCACTGACCTTCACCTCCCAAAGTGCTGGGATTCCAGGCATGAGCTTCCGTGCCCGGCTGTAATTTTTAATGGAATCAACAGGTGCCATTGTGTGCCATGTTTTGTGATGAATGTAAAACACTTTACTATTAAGGAAATTCTTTTCAGCGATTTACTTAAAAAATGAGATGGCTTATTCTATAAAGCTCAGTTCCTAGCTCTACTCATTTAAAGTTTTTCCTTTTTTTTCTACTTCATGTTATAAAGAAATATCGTCAGATTAATAATTTATATGTGTGTGCACACATATATAAATACCACACTTACACCTATAGTGAGTGAGTGGCTCTTGACTTTATTTTGGAATTGAAGGAGAATCTAGTTTTTTTTTTTTTAAATCAGAAAGTTGTAAATGAATTTTTGTTGTACTTTGTACCACTATGGCCTGGCTGCCATTCATATATATTAGATCTCCTTAAGTTAGACTTAGGATAGAGGGATGAAATGGATATTGTGGTACTTATTTCCTTTTTATCTTGATTTCTAATTAGATTTCATTGTAACTCCCTTATGTATATGCCAATCATTCTTCGGTTAATGTATTACGTGGTTTTTGTTCTTTCAGCATATTGAGTACCGGTTGAAAGTGGCTCTGCCTTGTGATCTTGGAGCGGCTCTAACTGACGGTGTTGTTCTTTGCCATTTGGCTAATCATGTGCGACCTCGATCTGTCCCAAGCATTCACGTTCCCTCACCAGCTGTAGTAAGTTGATAATGCTAAAAAGCCTTGGCTGTTCATCAGATCATTTGTTAAGCACAGTGGACAGACATTTCTTAAGCACTGTGCTAGATATTAAGGATACAGATACAAAGAGTCCAGTCTCTACCTTCCTGGTCTCCCTTCTACTGGAGAAGAAACAGACATGTATGCAGTGTGATAAATGTTCTAAGAAAGGCGTGTACAATGTGTGTTATAGGGATACAAAAACGGGCCACTTAACCCGCCTGGAGAGTTCAGGGGAGCCTTCCCAGAATGGGCAAAATTTGAACTAATTTTTGAAGTTTAAGAAGGAATTTTCCAGCAGTACAGAGAGGGAAGGAGGCCTCCTGCATAGGATTTCTAGATTCAGAAGCTAAGGAAAGTTATGGCTTACTTAAGGAATTGGTAAATTGTTCAGAATGGATCATGCACAGGGTTGTAGATAAAAATGGGAAGGGGTAAGGCTAGAGAGGTAAGCTGGGGCTGTGGTACAAAGGTCTTATGAAGCATGTCAAGAAAGTTTACCCTAGTACAGACAATGAGGAAACACTGAATTAAAGAGGGAATACCATGATTATAATTGCAGTTTAGAATGATGAATCTAGGCTGGGCGCGGTGGCTCATGCTTATAATCTTAGCACTTTGGGAGGCCGAGGCAGACGGATTGCTTGAGCCCAGGAGTTTGAGACCAGCCAGGACAATATGGCAAAACCCGTCTCTATCAAAAATACAAAAATTATCTGGGCATGGTGGCACGTGCCTATAGTCCCAGCTACTCAGGAGGCTGATGTGGGAGGATCACTTGAGCCTGGGAGTTCGAGGCTGCAGTGAGCGGTGATTGTGCCAGTGCACTCCAGCCTGGGTGAGAGAGCAAGACCCTGTCTCAAAGAAAAAAAAAAAAAAAAAAAAGAATTCTGTGCTAAATGAGAAATGGATAAATTAAAGGTGGTACACTAGAAAGATGCCCAAGCCAGGCTCAGTGGCTCGTGCCTGTAGTCCCAGCTACTTGGGAGTCTGAGGCCTGAGGATCCTATGAGCCCAGGAGTTTGAGACTAGCTTGGGTGCTATAGCAAGATCTTGTTTCTTAAAAGAAAAAGGAAAAGAGGCTGGGTGCAGTGGCTCACGCCTGTAATCCCAGCATTTTGGGAGCCCGAGGCTGGTGGATCACCTGAGGTTAGGGTTTCGAGACCAGCCTGGCCAACATGGTGAAACCCTATCTCTACTAAAAATACAAAATTAGCCAGGAGTGGTTCACACATCTGTAATCGCAGCTACTCGGGAGGCTGACGCAGGAGAATCACTTGAACCCGGGAGGCGGAGGCTGCAGTGAGCTAGCACGCCACTGCACTATACTCCAGCCTGGGCAAGACAGAGCGAGACTCTGTCTCAAGAAAAAAGAAAAGAAAGATGCCCAATTAAAAGGCTGTTGTATTAGTCCAGGCCAGGAGGATAACAAGCCTGGATTAATAGGGCAGTGAAAGGGAAGATGGTTCAGAGGTAAAATTGCCATGATCTGTGACCAACCTCAGGTGGAAGGTGAGGGAGAAAACGTATTCGAGATAACTGGCAGGTTCTCTGCACTGCTGGTCAGGTCTGGACATCAGTATCAGATGGCAGTCCACAAAAGAACAGGCTTTGGGTTGACACACCTCTCCTCTGTTTTCCTCACGTTTTTATCATGAGAAAGTTTCAACCTTCAGAAAAGTGGAAGGAATCATACAACGAACACTGTTAAAGTCTACACCTAGCTCTGACATTGCTTGCATTTTGCCATACTTGCTTTATGTATCTGTATTTGTATGTGTATTTTAACTACACCATCCAAAACTTACAGATGTCATATACTCTTCCCCCAATGTATTTTAGGGACCTGTCCTAGGCCCCCTTGCTTTTACCCTAGCCTATAGCCAATGACTGACAAGCATGGGGCTGAGCCCTCCTACCTCAAGGAGGGCGTGTCATGTGGTTCACACTTGTGAGCTCCCTGTGGGATCAAGCTGAAGCTGAGAAGGAGACAGGCAGGAGGATCACCTGTGGCCAGGAGTTTAAGACCAGCCTGGGCAATACAGTGACCCTGTCTCTACAAAAAAACTTAAAAAAATTAGGTGTGCACCTACTACTCAGGAGGCTGTGGCAGGAGGATCCCTTGGGCCCAGGAGTTTGAGGTTGCAGTGAGCCACGATCATGCCACTGCAGAACAACCTGGGCAACAGAGCGAGACCCTGACCCTAAAAAAGAAAGAAAGGGCCGGGTGCAGTGGCTCACACTTGTAATCCCAGCACTTTGGGAGGCCAAGGTGGGCGGATCACAAGGTCAAGAGATTGAGACCATCCTGGCCAACATAGTGAAACTGCATCTCTACTAAAAATACAAAAATTAGCTGTGTGTGGTGGTGCACACCTGTAGTCCCAGGTACTTGGGAAGCTGAAGCAGGAGAATCACTTGAGTCCAAGAGGTGGAGCTTCCAGTGAGCCAAGATCGCGCCACTGCACTCTAGCCTGGGTGACAGAGCAAGACTCTGTCTCAAAAAAAAAAAAAAAAAAAAAAGAAAGAAAAAGACTGAAAGGAAATGAATCAAGTGTTGTAGTTATATTTACATGATGAACTATGGGTAATTAATTTTTTTGGCTGTTCCTCCAAGTTTTCTTTAGTGCAGGGGTCCCCAACCCCTGAGCCACAAATGGGTACCAGTCTGTGGCCTGTTAGGAACTGGGCCGCACAGCAGGAGGTGAGCAGTGGGCCAGTGAGCAAAGCTTCATCTGTATTTACAGCCTCTCCCCATTACTCACATCACCGCCTGGGCTCTGCCTCCCGTCAGATCAGCAGCAGTGTTAGATTCTCGGAGCATGAAGGCTGGTGTGAACTGTGCATGCGAGGAAGGGATCTAGGTCACGTGCCCCTTATGAGAATCTAATCCCCGATGATCTATCACTGTCTCCTGTCACCCCCAGATGGGACTATGTAGTTACAGGTGAACAACCCAGGGCTCCCACTGACTCTACATTATGGTAGATTGCATTATGTATGATTATTTCATTATATATTGTAATGTAACAATAGACATAAAATACACAACGAATGTAATGTGCTTGAATCATCCTGAAACCATCCCCCAACTCCATCCCTGTCCATGGAAAAATCATCTTCCATGAAACCAGTCCCTGGTGCCAAAAAGGTTGAGGACTGCTGCTTTAGTGTTACATTGTTTTAAAATGGAAAAAAAATTTTTTTTATTCTTTCGAAGTTTTTCTATTTAGTACTTGCCTTACAAAATCAAAGCCAATTTCTAAAGTGTGAGGTGACAAGCTACTGCCCACAAGCCAGCACTTACTGTTGTAAATAAAGTTTCATTGGAACCCAGCCACACTTTCTTGTTTGCATATTGTCTATAGTTGCTTTCAAGCTCCTAGCAGAATTGAGTGGTTGCAACAGTTCTCTCTTTTTTTTTTTTTTTTTTTTTTGAGACGGAGTTTCCCTCTTGTTGCCCAGGCTGGAGTGCAGTGGCGTGATCTCGGCTCACCACAACCTCTGCCTCCCGGGTTCCCGGGTTCAAGCAATTCTTGTGCCTCAGCCTCCCGAGTAGCTGGGATTACACGTGCCCACCTCCACACCCAGCTAATTTTTGTATTATTGGTAGAGACGGGGTCTCTCCATGATCGTCAGACTGGTCTCAAACTCCCAACCTCAGGTGATCCGCCCGCCTTGGCCTCCCAAAGTACTGGGATTACAGGCCTGAGCCACTGCATCCGGCGTTGCAACAGTTCTTGTGGCCTTCAAAACTAACGTTTATTATCTGATCCTTTAAAGAAAAGTTTGCCGACCCCCTAGTCTACAGCACTGAGAGTTACGAAGCGATTGCCAAGGGTATTTTTAAAGTTAGCAAATATTTTTTATGTTGCTAGCAGGCTGGGCCTGTAGCTCATGCCTCTGATCCTAGCACTTTGGGAGGCTGAGGCAGGCAGATTGCTTGAACTCAGAAATTCAAGACCAGCCTGGGCAATGTGGTGAAACCCTGTCTGTACAGAAATTACCCAGGTATGACGGCTTGCAGCTACAGCCAGCTACTTGGGAGGCTAAGGTGGGAGGATCACCTGAGCCCGAGAGGTCAAGGACACAGTGAGCCAAGCTTGTGCCACTGCACTCCAGACTGGGTGACAGAGCGAGACCCTGTCCCAAAAACAAAACTTCTCTAGTAACACATTTTCTTTTCCTCATTTCAGCCTAAATTAACAATGGCGAAATGCAGGCGAAATGTGGAGAATTTCCTAGAAGCTTGCAGAAAAATTGGTGTACCTCAGGTAATAAATTTATCATTTTTTATGTTGCCTAAATAGACTTGGTTGTGCTAAAATTTTAGAAATGCAAATCTCTAAAATCTTACAGGACTAGCTCTGAGCTAAGTCAATCCTAATTAACATGACTTTGGGTTACAAGAGTCAGTATACTTTTGAACAGTTTTCCTTAATTATTTCCAAGGACCACACAAAGAAATTATAAATGTATAAATTGAAATAATTATAAGTAATTTAGAGTAATTATTCTATTTTCCTAAACTTTCCCACTTGCTATTTGACAACTAAATACATCCTTCAAAAAGTCAGTCTATCCCAGATGGAGAGTGCTGCAGCTGGCCTCGGTGTTCTGACCTTTGCTTTGATACTTTTTAAAATGTTTTAGACTCCAGAAATGTTGAAAAGACAGCCTAGCGTTCCTTTGTATACTTCACTTATTTCTTCTAATGTTAACTAACACCTGATATACAACCTTAGGACAGTGGTTCAGATTAAGTAACGCGAGAACAGCACGACTAACTGAATGACAGGAGCACGACTAACTGAATGACGGGAGCACGACTAACTGAATGACGGGAGCACGACTAACTGAATGACGGGAGCACGACTAACTGTATGACGGGAGCACGACTAACTGAATGACGGGAGCACAGTAGGAGCACGACTAACTGAATGATGGGAGCACGACTAACTGAATGACGGGCTCTTCCATGAAGCTCGTTCTTTGGAGCCTGGCTTGCAACAAACAGGCTGTCTCTGAGCTGTTGTCCTGCTGTGAGGATTAGTTGCCTCCAGCTCAGTTATAACTTTATTGCCCTTTAATCTTACCGATAGTTAAATTTATTTATAGATGTGATTAAGGGAAGTAAACTTGATATACTCTTAATCAATAACCCCTTTAAAAAGCAATTATAGTAAACCAACGAAGCATTATACTACTAAGGAATATTACATGGTATAAAGACAAATTTAAAGAAATAAACAACTTGGTGCCGTGCGATACTTTTTCATTAACCACGACCATTACAAGTCTTGTTAACATTTTGTCTATAGCATGAAGGAGGAAAACATGACTCTTTTCTATCACCTTCTAATTAGGTCTCAGTAACTCAGGGGTGGCCCCGGGGCTCAGCAGCAGCTCCACCATTTCTCTCAGAGTTTAGATCCTGTTCCTGTCGCTTTCATGACAGTGATTCTCTTTACGCATTTCACCACACCTCTTTCTAACTAACCAGGAGTTAGAAAGGCCTCAGCGTCACTTGTCCAAAGAGTGACCTTCTCTTTCAGCTCTTTCACGTGTTACAAGGTGAAAGAGCGAGCGCCCAGCTCCACAGAGCATCTGCATCAGCCAGCAGGATTCCCAGGGTGGTTTTTCTCTTATGAAGCTAGATCATCATTCTACTATTTATTTTTTACTTTTTTCTTTTGCTGTTTTTTCTTTTTAAAAACTGAATTGTAAAAGAATGGAAATTTACATAAAGTGGTAGTTAGCAAAGACCTTTTTGATTCCTATGGACAAATTCAAAGCAAAATTTTCATGTTTATGTTATGTTGTTTGATAAAGGCTCCTCTTTTAGAACAGACCTTTTTAAATATTTTGAGAGCACTGAATACGGCTTCTGAAGAAACAACATATGTTCTTTTAAACAAGTTTGTTCTAATAGTGCACATTAGCCTCCAGTTCTTCCCTTCTGCTTCCTGAAGAGGTTCCTGCTACACAAACATCTAGTGTCTGCTCTAGTTCCCTGCCAGAGTCTTTAAACAAAGAGAGTATAGGCCGGGCGCGGTGGCTCAAGCCTGTAATCCCAGCACTTTGGGAGGCCGAGACGGGCGGATCACGAGGTCAGGAGATCGAGACCATCCTGGCGAACACGGTGAAACCCCGTCTCTACTAAAAAGTACAAAAAAAAAAAAGTAGCTGGGCGAGGTGGCGGGCGCCTGTAGTCCCAGCTACTCGGGAGGCTGAGGCAGGAGAATGTCGTGAACCCGGGAGGCGGAGCTTGCAGTGAGCCGAGATCCGGCCACTGCACTCCAGCCTGGGGGACAGAGCGAGACTCCGTCTCAAAAAAAAAAAAAAAAAAAAAAAAAAAAAAAAAAAAGAGTATGGCATGGGTTGGTGCAGAATGGGAACTGCGAAATTGATAGGAGAGTGCTGAATATGGCCCCGCTCAGACAAGTCATGTTGACCCAACCAATGTCAAAACCTGTTAAAAGTACTGTTTACCAGCGATTACAGTCATTGTACCTGTCCACTGGTATGCCGTGGGTGACCATGTTTATCATGGGCCAGCTTGTCCCTGTTCCTACCAGAGCTGTGCTGTTGGAAGGCAAGTACAGAGAAAAAAATAATACAGTTTTAAAAGACTGAGTCTTTTTCCAGAGTGGTTAGACTGAGGTTTTGAGGCATCCTCCCTCCCTCTCCCTCCACAAAGAGGAAGTGGACATTCCTCATAGGCTGCCCCTTCCTTCTCCCCTTCCGCCTTCCGCCCTCCACCCAGGTCCCCACCACAACCACGGCCAGTTTTAGACGGGTTCCTAGTATGCTGCTACTGCTGCTGAAAAATTAATCATTTGTCTAGAACAAAGTGAAAGAAAATGAATAAACGCACAAACTCATAGGTTCAAGCTCGCCTTCTCAGGTCCCACTGCCAAAGGAAGAGAAGAAACTTCTACCTTCCCTTCTTCCTTTTCCTCCTGTGTTTCTGGTCATTCTGGCCTTTACTTAAACATCCCCATTTTGCTCTGTGTGACTTGAAAATTGGGAAGGTAATAATGATCACTTTTGAAAATGTAAAACAGAAAACAGTATTATAAGTATTTTGTCAGATTCTATACCCAGATGAGATATATAAAGACAAATAATTTCCTTTCTCTGTATAACTTTTAAAGTGTTATACAAGTTAAAGTATGAATGAAATACTAAAGGACAAGGCAATTATTAAAAACCTCTGATGACATTGGGCATATGGGTATTTGCTTTATTTTTATGCTTTTATTAAATATGCTACATTCAAAAAAACCATAATGGGTGATTAAAAACTTATATCTGAGTCCAGTATCTGTTGTCCCAGAGTTGTTATGTTATGTGTTAAAGGATGTCTCCCTGTTGTCAAGTCCACTGATGTTTGTATTTATTTAGTGAATTTTGCAATCTGTAAAATGGAGGGTTTGGATGATCTCTGAGGCCCTTACCAGCTCTATGTTCATTTCGAACACATTCTTGAGCTGGACTTGGTTACAATAGACACCCCCTGATTTTTAGAGGAATGCCAAGTCATTGAATGCGTTTGGCTTCTAGGCAGTAAACTGCACCCAGATCATGAGGCTTTCCTCAGTCTTTGAACCTTTTTGATGTACCTGGCTTTCTCCGAAAGCGTCCCTCACCTCAGCCCCTGCAGTTTTTGTCCTTGCTTTCTGACCTCCTTTGTTTTAATAGAGGAGAATGAGTCAGGAGAGACGTTGCTTCCCACACACCTCACTACTCTCAGGCCTCACACGACCCTAAACCAACATCCACTTCTGTGTATTGTATTGGTGTTTTGTTTTTTGTTTTTTTGATTTTTGTTTTTTTTTGATGGAGTCTCGCTCTGTCACCCAGGCTGGAGTGCAGTGGTGCGATCTCAGCTCACGGCAAGCTCTGCCTCCCGGGTTCACGCCATTCTCCTGCCTCAGCCTCCCGAGTAGCTGGGACTACAGGCGCCGCCACCGCGCCCAGCTCACTTTCTGTATTTTTAGTAGAGACGGGGTTTCACCGTGTTAGCCAGGATGGTCTCGATCTCTTGACTTCGTAATCCGCCCACCTCAGCCTTCCAAAGTGCTGGGATTATAGGCGTGAGTCACCGCGCCCAGCCTGTGTATTGTATTCGTAATGTTCAGACTAGTCACCAACACGCAAATTTTATTCTGCTATTTAGTAGTAAGATCAAGCTCAGTATATAGAAGATTCTTTGTAGTTTGGGTTTTCAGCGTTTTATTTTTGTTCCTCAAGGTAAAAATGTTACAGGATGTGTATATGTGAATATGACTGAGATGATCATATTGAATTCTATACTCAGATCTGCATTTCTGATCCACTGACTTTGTTTTTCTGTTTTCCTTTCCTGCTTACACTTTGGACAGGACAATCTTTGTTCCCCTTCCGACATCCTTCAGCTAAACCTCAGCGTTAAAAGAACTGTTGAAACACTACTTTCTCTTGGGGCACACTCAGAAGAATCCAGTTTTGTCTGTCTCTCTATCCAGCTTCTGGGTTTTGTGGCATTTTACTGTACTGTCATGTTAACTCTCTGTATGCTTTATTACTGGCTCTTCCCCTCTAGCTGAAAGATTGCACTCCGGTGACTTTCCACCTCATTCCTGTGCTGGGTAAAGGAGGTTTGTTTGTCATTCAGAATTATTTATATAAGTGCTTTTTCTCCCTGCTGGCCCTCAAAGAGCTCACCGGTAAAGGAGACAAATCCTTTCCTTACATTTGCAGATGTGCAGCCCGTCACTCCTACACAAAAAGTTCTTTATACATAAGCCACAAACCACACACCTTCACAATACCAAACAGAAAATATTGATTTCTTATATAGACATCACTTAGTACAAAATATTAATTTCTTTTATAGACAAAACTTAGCATGAAGTTCTCTGGCGTGAACTTGTCGCATTAGCAGACATTTTGCTGACAAAGAGTAAAAGACCAGCATCTTTTTCTCCTGGCCATCCGCCCATTCTCCTGGCCTGTGGCCTTGTTTCTCTTCCCATAAACGAATATTCTCCTGGCCTGTGGCCTTGTTTCTCTTCCCATAAACGAATATGACAGGTAGAGCTTTATTTCCAAGTCACACAGTACAACCCCCATCTGGCCATTTTTCCATGTCTCAGCACAAGTGTTGACATTGTGGAGTGACTGAGCCTTTTCAGCAGCTGCTCATGAGGAAGATCATCGTGCCTTTTCTGGTTCTGGCAGGACCCGGTCACTTAGATTTCTGCTTTGAACTGTGTCCGGAAACCCTGAATCCCCCCTTGGTGGGTAGGCACAGGTCCGTCTAAGCATTTGCGGTCTGGACGTTTGGAAGGTATTGGCCGTCGTTTTAATAATTTTAGTTTGGTCAGAATGTTCAGTTTAAAGATCACGTGGATTTCCTAGACTGCTATTCTGAGCCCAATCCATACGTTGCACGTGGTGCACACGAGCAGATGGGCTGGAGCTGGCCTCTCAGGGTGGGCACCTGGCCAGATTGACTGTGTTTGTTATGTGTAACTGAGACTCACTCCCAGCATTCTGTTTAAAATTGGAATTTATGTGATTTCTAACCTTCTTAATAGTGAAACTGTAGCAGGAGAAGTAGTAGGGCAGCAGTCCCTGTTCTGTACTCAAGGCAGTGAATACTGTCTGGTTCTTTCTGAATGCTTAGCGTTTAGCTGCTAGACATTAATGCTGGAAACTACTTTATAATTGTGGTTAGATTCTAATTTCATAAGTCGTGTTTCTGAATATTCAGGAAACTTCTGAACTGTGTTAACAAAATTGGGATAAAGAATGAACTCAAGTAGGAGGAGAGATTGTGAGGAGCACGACATGCAGTTGTAGAATTCAGCCTGAGAGGCTCATTGCTTTGGTTTTCTTCCATATGAAATGGGACAGCTATTTTCACAGGTGAAAAGACTGTTCACTGTTAATGCTCAAACACTAAACACTGTGATGATGAAAACTTCAGTTTTCTGTGTTAGTAGGTGCCTTTCAGACTTTGGGGAGCTGGGTTGGTTTTATTTTTAAGATGTCTCAGAGTTGGAACACCTGTTAAAAAACACACACAGGCTCTCATGGTTTAGGGGCTGTAATTGTACATTCTCTTGAGAACACACAGCACTCCCTCTAGCCCAGCTGGAAGGTAAGTGTGCTCTAGAAAGCATAGGCTTCCGAGTGTAAACACCAGGCCACACAGGTCCTAGGGCGCCACTGAGCGGAAGAGATCAGGGAATCAGCCTTGGAGAAAGCATGTCTCTTCCAACAGCAAAACAAAACACTCGGCAGGTTCATTTTAAAAATAATTTATCTAGACGTGCAGTTGCACTCAGTATTTCTACAAAGTTGCTAGTTTTATTAGATCAAAAGATTACAGTTACCTCATTTTATCAAGATAAGTATTAAATAAAAAGTAAGCACAAGTACCAGTAACTGCCTCAAAAATAAATACTTGTTATATATTTTATTGTAACTGGTTTTGTAAAATTTCGTAGTAATGTCGTCTCAATGAAAAGCAAAAAAAAAAAAAAAACTAGTCTTCTTTAACAAACATGTGTAATCTTTTTTTTGTGGAACCAGAATTCTATATTCTGTTCTTTGTAAGAGCAATCTCTTTTCTTTCTGAATATTTACTCTTAACAGAAAGCCAGTGATAAGTGCTGTTCTTAAGATTTGCCTTTTTCTCTCACAAGAAAGGATTAACCTAACAAATTAATGATGCGCACACACTCGATGTATTACTTAACTTCCTTAAGCAAACATTGTAAACACTTTATAGATGTTGGTAATCAACATATTCCTGCCTAAGCTTAGGTAGTAGTTCCCTGGAATAATTCAGGCTGTTAAATACCAGGATATTAAATACTTTACATTTTCAAATACTATTTCTTTTTAATTCTGTAATTCAGATTTTTAATTCAGACAGGCCCTTCCATGAATTATTCAAATTAGGGGGAAGTTTCTCAAACACATCTAAATCTCAAGAGCTCAGGATACACTGAGTTTCTTGCCCTGCCTGGCCTGGGAACCCTGGTTTTCATAGTCAGGATTATCATGCAGACAGTGTAGAACTCATGCAGGCTGAGTTATGTTTTCAAACTATCTTGCATTCCTGTGGTAGGGAACTTACAAAGTGCTTTCTGCTAAAGTGTAAATCTTTCAGTCTTGAGCCATCTGGTAGCGTGGAATTGTTTTTCTATTTTTCACATTTCCTATTTTATAGATCTGCACTGGCCTTTTATTCATCAGAGAATAAAGGATGTTGCTTTCACACTGCAGTACTGTTTTTCCTCTGCTGTATGTATAAATATACGCTACTTGTCAATTTCCCAATTTTGAAAATGATCTGTATGTACTTTTAGTTGTATTAATAAAGTGACAGTGAGCGTCAGTCACCATCTGTATCTCACTCAGATTTCCACTGAGGTCGGTGTCCCAGGTACTACATTTTCCTATCTTCATTGATTATTATGAAGGGGAGAAGTGCTTGCTTTTTCCTTTCAGTTCTGTGAAACTCATTGATTTTCTTTTTGTTTGTGTGTTGCGTTGTCCCATTTCAGGAGCAATTATGTTTGCCTCTCCACATTTTAGAAGAGAAAGGTTTGAGCCAGGTTGCAGTGACGGTCCAGGCTCTCCTGGAACTTGCCCCACCCAAGCAACAGCAGCACCAGTTATCTGCTGTTTAAGGATTCCCAAGACCTTGGGCCATTGGCCTGGCCAAAACAAGGAACAGGACAACGTGATTGCTGCTGCCAGCTGTCTGCTTAAACAAAGCTCTTATGTGTTCTCAGAAGGGACTGTTTCCATGATTCCTAACAGGAATATTTTGCATCATTTCTCCATTTTAGGGGAGGTTATATCCATTTCCATTGAATTTTTTTACAAAGACACCATTGGTTTTCCCAGATGAAACTTCTTTCGTTACTGAAAACCCGACACCTGACCTGGCTGTGTTTTCCTGGAGAGCAGGCTCATTTCACACACCAGAAAGCACATCTTCTGCGTTAGGCACAAGCATGCTGTGCCGTTGTTTTTACCTGCTCTCAAGACAGCTGGTCTGCTGGTTTCTAAACTTGGTTGTTCGTTAGAATCTCCTGGAGTGTTTGTTAAAATACAGATTCACATTCAGGAGGTCTGGGGTAAGGCCTAGGAATCTGCATTTTCAACAACCATTGCACATGTTTTTGTTTGAGAAGGAGTTCCGTTCGGTCACCAGGCTGGAGTGCAGTGGCGCGATCTCGGCTCACTGCAAGCTCCGCCTCCCGGGTTCAAGCGATTCTCTTGCCTCAGCCTCCCGAGTAGCTGGGACAACAGGTGCCCACCACCACGCCCAGCTACTTTTTTGTATTTTTAGTAGAGATGGGGTTTTGCCATGCTGGCCAGACTGGTCTCAAACTCCTGACTGCAAGTGATCCACCCGCCTCGGCCTCCCAAAGTGCTGGGATTACAGGCGTGGCCACTGCGCCTGCCCGAAACCACTGTTCAAAGCTAGATATTTGTATGTTTGGTGGGGGAGGGTAATGGCCCCACTGCATTTTTTCACCCACATTTAAAATGAAAAGCTGTATTATGAGGAGCTGGACTATTCTGTCAAAGACAAAACAAAAATAATATAGAAGGCCTAGATTTTGCATAGTCTTTTTTTTTTTTTAAGAGTTGGGGTCTCGCTGTGTTGCCCAGGCTGGTCTGAAACTCCTGGGCTCAAGTGATCCTCCTGCCTCGGCCTTCCAAAGTGCTGAGATTACTGGAGTGAGCCACTGGGCCTGGCCCAAATTTTGCATAGTAAAACAGTGAAACAGATACAGTTGTATTTAAGGTCAGTCTTCTAGGCCTCCCTTCAACCCCAGTCCATCATAGAAGATGGTTCTATGTCATCCTGTTATCTAGACATTAGAAACAAGCCCTGTAGACACAGGTTCCAAATCCTTAAGCTGATAGCACACTGCTGTGCATCGCCTGCTTTGGTCTCACTGAGCCTCCCTCCCCACCCTCCTCACCCTCCTCACCCTCCTCACGCTGCTCCGCGGACACCTGGGCCTGCAGACACGTTGCAGTCACAGCACATACACTTCGAGCTCGGAAAAGCCTAGTTTCTTATATTTCTTTCAGGTAACTGCCAGTTTCTGTGGCTGAATTAAAGCACTTACAGCATCTTAAAAACAACTTCCTAGCTGTGTGTGGTGGCTCACGCCTGTAATCTCAGCACTTTGGGAGGCTGAAGTGGGCAGATCACCTGAAGTTGGGAGTTTGAGAACAGCCTGACCAACATGGAGAAACCTTGTCTCTACTAGAAATACAAAATTAGCCAGGTGTGGTGGCTCGTGCCTGTAATCCCAGTTACTTGGGAGGCTGAGGCAGGAGAATCACTTGAACCCAGGAGGCAGAGGTTGTAGTGAGCCGAGATCGTGCCATTGCACCCCAGCCTGGGCAACAAAAGCAAAACTCCGTCTCAAAAAAAAAAAAAAAAAAAGCGCCCCATCTGGCTCCACCACTAGTGCCTTTATATACTCAATTATGGGTGGAGGAAAAGGGCCCAAGGGCTCTCAACACCACACAGGAGCTTTTCTTCCAGTTTCAGCTAGTTGGGTTTTCCTTCCCCTGCATTTTGAACCCCTCTTAGTTGTTGGTGATATATTCTGGTGTTCACTGCCTTTGTAAAACAAGTAAATAAAGTAAGTGGAAGATACTAGTTATGTATTTTGTTTCTGTAGTTGTTAACTGTTTTGGATTTTCTTTACCAATGCATCCATTTGGACATAATGTTATTCCTCTTTTTATCAGGTAAATGTAGCATCTAAAAGTAGCTTTGGATCAAATCATGTTGAGTACCTGGTCAAAGTAATGTTTTCTTCCTTGTTCTTGCAGAGAAACAGATTCATCAGAACATTACCACTTGACCAGGTTTAAAATTGTGTAATGGCCTGGGCGCGGTGGCTCACGCCTGTAATCCCAGCACTTTGGGAGGCCGAGGCAGGAGGATCACTTGAGCCCAGGAGTTTGAGAGCAGCCTGGGCAACATAGCAAGACCCTGTCCCCCAAAAATTGAAAAAAAAAGAAAGCCAGGCATGGTGACACATGCCTGTACTCCCAGCTACTCAGGAGGCTGAGGTGGGAGGATCACTTGAGCCTGGGAGGTCGAAGCTACAGTGAGTCATGGCTGCACCACTGCACTCCAGCCTGGGCAACAGAGTGAGACCCCATCTCAAAATAAATTGTATAATTTACAACATCTAAGTCAATGCCCAATCTTATAGAATGAAAGTAAAATGTCTTTATGTAAGTGCTTAGAGCCAGACCTCATTATATTTACAGTTCCCAACAGACCCACTGACCCTTATATAACTTTAGAATTTAGCTGTGTGTATTTTTAAACTGTATTTGTCAGCATTAAGCCTCAGTATAGTCTCCAAATTATATGCCACCAGACATGGCACTCAGCAAATGACAGGATTATTTTTAACATATGTAGGCCAGCCTGGCCAACATGGTGAATCCCCATCTCTACTAAAAATACAAAAATTAGCTGGGCATGGTGGCAGACGCCTGTAATCCAGTGACTCAGGAGGCTGAGGCAGGAGAATCGCTTCAACCTGGAAGGCGAAGGTTGCAGTGAGCCGAGATCGCACCACTGCCCTCCAGCCTGGGTGACAGAGCGAGACTCCTGTCTCCAGAAAAAAAAAAACCCCACAAAATCAAAAACATACTATGCAAGGAATAATTCTAGAAGATGTTACATAATGAAATACTTGCCATGTTTGCAAGTAATTTTCCCATAGGAATAAATGGAAATTTCAGCTTATTTCAAATTTTGCACATATTATGAAACCTTATTAATGTATTTTTATCAAACTAAATGAGATTTGTATTTGAATTGTTAGTAAAAACTGGGTGCAGTTTTGGCTGATAATTGAAGGAAAAATATCAAATACATTGAATTTTTTTTTTTTTCCAATTTTTTTCAGACCCTCTGCAGAGGTATGAAGGTATGAATTTCTTTTTGGTGTCAAGATGCAAAAACAAATCATGGTGCTTTTGTTGGGAGAATTTTGTATTCAGTATTTTGTATGTACCTTTTTTAAAAAAATTGGAAAGCACAATTTGGTTTAACATTTAGCTTCGCTTGACTCCAGTGTAAGATGAAGATGACCTTGTAACGGCTCCCCTGACCTGAAGCAGAGCCCTTCCTATCACTGACACTGTTGGAGGCTGAGAGCCCCCCAGCAGAGCCCTTCCCGTCACTGACAGTGTCGGCAGCTGAGAGCCGCCCCAGCAGAGCCCTTCCCATCACTGACAGTGTCAGTGGCTGACAGCACCCCCAGCAGAGCCCTTCCCATCACTGACAGTGTCGGAGGGCTGAGAGCTGCCCCAGCAGAGCCCTTCCCGTCACTGACAGTGTCAGCGGCTGAGAGCTCCCGCAGCAGAGCCCTTCCCATCACTGACAGTGTCAGCGGCTGAGAGCCCCCGCAGCAGAGCCCTTCCCATCACTGACGGTGTCAGTGGCTGAGAACCGCCCCAGCAGAGCCCTTCCCATCACTGACAATGTCAGCGGCTGAGAGCCGCCCCAGCAGAGCCCTTCCCATCACAGTGTCGGCAGCTCAGAGCCGCCCCAGCAGAGCCCTTCCCATCACGGACAGTGTCGGTGGCTGAGAGCCCCCCTGAGCAGAGCCCTTGCCACCTACAGAGATTTTCTGTCAGGAGTTTCCCACAATTTCAGACTGGTAATCTGTGTTTAGCACTCCAGTGTTCTCTTGTAAAAATAGCCAGGTCTGGAAACGACCCATGGGAAGAGGGGCCTTTGTATTCTGCTAGAACACAGAGCATAGTAGTAGATCACTTTCCTGAAGAGCTTTTTAAAATACAGCTAATCTAGGAGTTTGCAATTTTTCTTACTTTCTACAGCTCAGCAGTGACTAATGATGTGTGACTATGCTGACAAGTTTGATGAATTTGTAAAAACTAAGCACTTAAATGGTTGTAGAAATGAAAACATGGATATTCAGAAGCCTTTCTATATACACAGTGCAGTGAGATGGTTTACAGCAAATTCTGTTTTATTTCTGAAAATGTTGTAAACATGTAATTAGTGAAGATTTTGTAAAACATTGTCCTATGTTTGTATGTCTGTAAATATATTGCATAAGTTCTAAGTATAAATATGTCAGTATCATGTATGTTATTTTAAATTGCCTGTATGCCACTTTATATGTTGACATTAAAATCAAAGCCAACACTTCAGTGGCATATAATAAAAGCTGACTGGAGAGTGTTCATACCTGAGGTGTGATTCCCTTGGCAAAGGTGAATTAAGGAAAGGGCATCTCCTTTCCAGAAGGAGTGTTAGTGGAAACAGGGGGCTTCAGGACAGGCTTTTGAGATCAAGTTGATTTTCTTAAGGAAGTACAGATACCAAGACTGCTTTATTTGGAGTTAGGTAGATAGAAGGCTTAATTCATGAAATGTATGTGATACATTAGGACAACTTTTCTCTTGGAAACCTTTAGCATCACAAGGCATTGTTTTGACTCATCACGGCAAGCATGATCTGGTGGACTCATTTTTTTTCTAGAAGAGGGAGAGTGACAGCTTTCCTATTTGCCAGGCACAGGTTAGGTATTTTCACACACCTTATTTCTTTTCATCTTAACACTCCATAAAGTGGGGACTGTTGAGTAAGCAAAGCAGGTATTGGCCCTAGTGTTTCACTTGTCAAAAATATATCCAAACCAGCCTTCCAGAGAACCTGTGTCCCATCTTTACAGTTTGTAAAGCTGTATATCCTAACATCCTATTTCTAGCTTGTATTTATAATTTGTATCCCTGTTTCCTAGAAAAGTTGCTGAAGCAGCTTATAACTGGTTATGTGTTCCATGCCATTTTCACCCCAATAAAAACACCAGAGTGACGATAAATCTAAAAGGCAGGCAGGAACCAACATTTATTAAAACTTTACTGTGTATATATTATGCTGGACAGCTAACATCATCATCTTGTAATTCCTACTGAATACTTTTGCTCATAAGAGTTTTTTTCACTACACATTGGGTAAAATCAGAATCAGACATTACAGGAATTTCTGAAGTTTCCATGCATCACTGTAAGCCAATGAACTGCTTTGTTCACTGAGAAAAAGAAACAATGAATCTTCACAGGACTACCAGAAACTCTTCCCAGCAAGATGAGGAAGCCCTAAGTCAATGGTATAATCCTAAATCAGGGTTTGAAAACCCAGGTAACAGGCAGAGTGAAATTAACAGGCCAAGAGCAATTAACAAGCCCAATGAAATTATCAGGCCTAGTGAAATCAGGCAGAGTGAAATTAACAGGCCAAGAGCAATTAACAGGCCCAATGAAATTATCAGGCCTAGTGAAATCAGGCAGAGTGAAATTAACAGGCCAAGAGCAATTAACAGGCCCAATGAAATTATCAGACCTAGTGAAATCAGGCAGAGTGAAATTAACAGGCAGAGTGAAATCAGGCTTCCCTGGGAAAGTCTCAATAGGAAACAACCTGTAGATGAGTCATCTTTGATGGTACCAGGTGTTTCTTAACTCTCTCAAGTCCTTCCCACCTCCAGAATACCAGAGGAAAAGACAGAAGAGAACTTGGTCACTTCTTCTTGCCTCTCCTCTTGTCCTTGCCTTTGCCTTTTCCTTTTGAATCCTTGCTATCAACTTTGTCTTTAGGCATCTTGAAACCACCAATTTCTCTCCGTATCATAGTGCCCCGCCACCAGGCCTGGAGCTGGAAGAGATAAAGGGAGTGAGTACAACGTATTGTGTGCCTGACAAGCTGCATTCTTTCCACATAAAGGGACTGTTGAATAAAGTAACTTCTGTCTGACAAACAGTCTCTCTCCAGGACATGGAAGTAGCCAGGGACGTAATCACTATAGCGATGCTCTCCTGTTGTGCAGGACCCGGAACTTAAGCTATGGACTCAAGAGTGAAGTTCTCAAGGAGTAAAAATCAAAGGAATCGGATTTGGCCTATTTTTTCTTCACCCTTAGAAATCTGACTTCCTTATACTGCTTTCCTTGAAGAAAGTCCAGGTTCCCCATACCTAACAGCTATTTGAACCAAAAAGAATGTTAGTTACCTGGGCCAAGGGCAAAAGCAAATGGCCAATAACGCACAGATAATGCCAGGTGCGGTGGCTCATGCCTGTAATCCCAGCACTTTAGGAGGCTGAGGTGGGCAGATCACTTTGAGCTCAAGGGTTCAAGACCAGCCTGGGCAACATGACAAGCCCCTATCTCTACAAAAATACAAAAAAGAAAAAAAAAAATTAGCCAGGCCTGGCGGCTTGTGCCTATAGTCCCAGCTGTTTGGGAGGCTGAGGCGGGAGGATCTCTTGAGCCCGGGAAGCAGAGGTTGTAGTGAGCAGAGATTACACCACTGCACTCCAGCCTGAGTGACAAAGTGAGATCCTGTCTCAAAAGGAAAAAAAAAGCACAGATAAGTCTAGATGAGTCTTATAGGCTTGTGCATTTCATATCTTCAGTGATTGCTGAAAAGATCAATTGTCCTAGCACTTTTAAAAAGATTCAGATAAGCTTTCTTGAATATCTTAGTTTTTAAATAACAGTTGTTCTCAATACAGTCTCCACTGCTTTAAAGTCAGACTAAACCCTAAAGACTGGAAGCAAATCCACTAGTGAAAAGAAAGCAAACATGCTCCTCAGCTCATTCTTAACATGTCTGTTGTAAATTCAGGAATACTGACAAGTTTTATGGGGAAACGCCATTGAAACTGGATTAATTCTTGCTATTTACACATCTGACTCCTTATGGAAAACTCAACTTTGGGTTTGGATACCTGTGCAGAATGTAAATATAAAACTTTTAGTTCACCCCTAATATACAACCCAAACTACGGTTTACCCACTAGGGTCTCAGCCTGCAGAGAGAAGGGCTGTCCTCCAGACAGTTTCCATCCAGCTGATGCTGCTTTCAGTTTTTGCTTACAAGTATTTCACGTGATCTGTGACCTGCCAGTTTCATCATCACTGATATACACAAGTTCATATAAAACTAAAATATCTCTATTTTTTTCTAACTTGCTGCTTATCCTCCCCACCTAAGCAGATAGTCTGGGCTGATGGATAAGCAGGATTTTAAGAAGTAGGAGGATATTAAAAGGAATCATTCTGTCAAGAGCTGGTTTTGGTTAGACATAGTATTCTTATATTTCGTCTCTGGGCCTAGGTTTTGCTTCCACCGCTAACCACCTCTTTTTCTCCAGATGAAGAGCTGGGGGCACGTCCTTTTCTATGTTAACCGTCTCCCTGCACCATGGACTGTGTCAGCAAATTCTAGTAATAACAAAAGTCCATGCTTCTCAGATTTGCAGTTCCTTGGTATACTGAGATGCGTTTGATAACGAATGAGAAATTCTTTTGTGTTCCTCAGTGTTAGGCCAGCTATGGCGAGATACTGATTATGGTTCTTTACCTTTATGACGCTCTTTAATTCCAAGAGATCCTGTTCTATCTTATTCTTGCTCTTCTCCTTTTCTATACGATCTTCAATGATGACCTGTTCACACTCTCTTATCTGCAAAGATAGACATTCATCATTTATTACAGTACTCTCTTGACTAAGCTGTAGCCCAGCCAGCCCTGCACTTTTCATATAAAATTTCAAAATAAAACATGCTCCATCTAAAGATAAACCAAAGAAAAAAAGCAATAGATTCCTAGATTGTAAATACTCACATACTAACTTTATAATTGTTCCCAAAACTTTTTCAGTTTTAATAATTCAAATTTAAGTTCTGTCTTTCATAAAAAATGAAATACGAATTAATGTGTGATCAATGACCTCAATGTGGGTTTTTTTTAAAACTTTGGGAGAATGTAGATATACAGTAGCTGTCTTTTTTGTTTTGAGACAGAGTCTCACTCTGTCACCCAGGCTGGAGCGCAGTGACGCAATCTGGGCTCACTGCAACCTCCGCCTCCCGGTTCAAGTGATTCTCCTGCCTCAGCCTCGTGAGTAGCTGGAATTAGCCGCGTGCCACCATGCATGGCTAATTTTTGTATTTTTAGTAGAGGTGGGGTTTTGCCATGTTACCCAGGCTTGTCTCAAACTCCTGATCTCAAGTGATCTGCTTGCCTCGGCCTCCCAAAGTGCTGGGATTACAGGTGTGAACCACCATGCCCAGCAGTAGCTGACTTTTGAAAGAAATTTAGGAAGTTCTGCACTTATTCCATAATGAAACTATAATCACAAACTTGTTAGAAATCATCACTGACTGTCTCCAGAGGTCATAAAGTAAGAATAATCACAGTATCTGTCGCAAGGGGCTGTGCGGTTAGCACCTGGGACAGAGTATGCACTATGTGAGTGTTACAGCAGCATCTAAAAAGAATCCCCGTGGTTTATAAGCACACCTCTACTTTTGACTCAAAATAGCAATACCCAGCTACTGTAGCTCAGTTGCCACTTCCTCCTCAGTGAGCACCCTAATTCCTTCCTTACCGTCTTTGCCAGGTCTTGAAGGTGTGCTAAGTCACTGGCCTTTGTGGCTTTGAGAGCATTTAGTTCATTCTGTTTCATTTCTGTGTCCTTATCATATTTCTCCATCCAGAACTCTAGCCTCTCCTCAAGTTTCTATTTGGAAAGAACACGAAAACATGGCATTCAGCAGACACAAAACACTGTAGACTGTATGATTCCACTTACATAAGTTTCAAGAATAAGCAAAACTTTCCATAGTGAGAGAAGTCAGAATAGTAGTTACTTATCTGGGTGGAGAGTTGGATTTCTGATTGGGAATGGGGTGTGAGGGAGACTTTGGGATGCTGTAACTGTTCTCTCTATCTTTGTCCGGGTGGTGGTTACATGAATGTGTATACATAAATGCTCATCAAACTATACACTAAGTACTTACATATTTTACTTGTAAGTCAATTTAAAAATAGAGGGCCAGGTGCGGTGGCTCACACCTGTAATCCCATCACTTTGGGAGGCCGAGGTGGGCGGATCACCTGAGGTCGGGAGTTCAAGACCAGTCTGACCAACATGGAGAAGCCCTCTCTCTACTAAAAACACAAAATTAGCCAGGCGTGGTGGCGCATGCCTGTAATCCCAGCTATGTGGGAGGCTGAGGCAGGAGAATCACTTGAACCCAGGAGGCGGAGGTTGCAGTAATCCCAGATTGCGCCACTGCACTCCAGCCTGGGCAATGAGAGCGAAACTCCGTCTCAAAAAAAAAAAAAAAAATGGGGAGGAGGGTCATCTAGATGTCTGGATAAGGGAAGCTGCAGTGAAGAGGAAAGAAAAGGCATGTAGAAAAGTCTTAAGGATAAGGAATAGCATCAGATAGCTCTTTGATTGACAGCACTAAATCCTAGTCAGGAGGGATACAATGTCTTCAAAATTCTAAAAGATTGGGAGGCTGAGACGGGCGGATCACGAGGTCAGGAGATCGAGACCATCCTGGCTAAAACGGTGAAACCCCATCTCTACTTACAAAAAAAAAAAAAAAAAATTCTAAAAGAAAATTAATGTAGGGCCTGGCGCGGTGCCTCACGCCTGTAATCCCAGCACTTTGGGAGGCTGAGGTGGGCGGATCACAGGGTCAGGAGATCGAGACCATCCTGGCTAACACGGTGAAACCCTGCCTCTACTAAAAATACAAGAAAAAAAAAAAAAGCCAGGCATGGTGGCGTGCGCCTGTAGTCCCAGCTACTCGGGAGGCTGAGGCAGGAGAATCGCTTGAACCCGGGAGGCAGAGCTCGCAGTGAGCCGAGATTGCACCACAGCACTCCAGCCTGGGAGACAGAGCAAGACTCCATCAAAAAAAAAAAAAAAAAAAAAAAAAGAAAAGAAAATGAATGTGAATCAAAGATTCTACACATAGCCAACCCAGCATTCAAATGTAAGGGAAAGAAAGACTATACTCAATCTTTCTGAGAGAGTTATTCAAGGATGTACTACTGTAGCAAAATAAAATGAAGGAGATATATTAAGAAATGATATATTAAGAAATGGAAGGGAACCAGTAAAACATGTATTTAAGCTATGTGATACTTTTTAATCATAAATCATAATTCAGAATTAAAATCCCAAAGTAGGCAGGATAGCACAGTTGAAAGAGCACAGCTGTGGCACTGAAAGAGTGTTTACTTAAATTCTCTGAGCCTCTAGTTCCCTCATATATAAAATACTATACCTGGCCAATAGTACAGTATTACAGTAATAGTACGAACCTCAGAGGGTTGTTGTGATGCTGAAATAAGATAATCCTTGTAAAGTACACCCACAATGCACATATATATATATATCTGCATATATATTATCACTTTACATATTTACATATAAAATAAATGATTTCAACATGGGATGAAGAGGGAGAGAAGAGGTAAGTGAAGTCTTTGCCTTAATAAAGGCAAAAGAATAACTCTAGACAGAGAAATTTTAAAAGTATAAAAATATATGTTAAAATTTTAAGAGTTGTGCTCACTTCAGTAACATATATACCAAAATTGGAACAACACAGAGATGATTAGCATGGCCCCTGCGCAGGAGTGACACATAAATTCGTGAAGCATTCCATATTTGTGTACTTGCTAGAAACAAAAAATTTAAAGGTTACCCCTAAAGAACAGAACTATGTAACTTTCAGACTCCTGGACGATGCACCTCAAGAGTGAGACATGGACAGGTTCCTCAGGTGGCACGTGGCATAGAATGTTTTTAAAACATGGCTATAGTTAATCATTGTGATTACACTGAGTGGGGTGGCCTGTGCCTATAATCCCAGCGGTTTGGAAGGCAGAGGTGGGAGGACTGCTTGAGGCCAGGAGTTTGAGGCCCCCCCTGAGCAACATAGTGAGACCCCATCTCTACAAAATGTTTTTTAAAAAGCCAGATGTGGTAGCTGCTGTGGTCCCAGCTACTCAGGGCCGAGGCAGGGTGATTACTTCAGCCCAGGATTTGAGGTGCAGTGAGTATGATTACGCCACTGCACTCTAGCCTGGGCAATGGAATGAGACCCAGTCTCTTAAAAAAAAAAATTCTGATTATGTTAGAGCAACATGTCAGTTTGATACTATCACATCTCTACGTCTTCTCTTTCTTACTCTTGTTAACACTTAAATAAAAAATAAATAAATAAGAGGGAACAGGCTCCAGACAGGCAAAAAGGTCTGGCTACAAGGTAATAACATCATTTGGTATTTTTTGTAATTCTATTTAAGTTATTTTATTTATTTATTTACTTTGAGATAAGGTCTGGATCTGTCACCCAGGCTGGAGTACGATGGCACAATCTTAGTTCACTACAGCCTCCACCTCCAGGGCTCAAGTCATCCTCTCATCACAGCCTCCAGAGCTGCTGGGACTACAGGTGTGCAACCCCATGTCAGGCTACTTTTTTTTGTATCTTTTGGTAGTGATGGTCTCATTATGTTGCCCGGACTGATCTCAAACTCCCAAGCGATTAACCCACTTCAGCCTCCCAAATTGCTGGGATTACAGGGGTGAGGCACCATGCCCAGCCTATTTATACTGACTTATATTTATGGAAGGTGTACTGGTTTTTCCTTTTATAGAAATGATATAAAAATCTTACTTTTAAATGAATTGATTTATCTGTTTAAGTGAGTAATTAGGTAGAAAATATTGGCCAGGTGCTGTGGCTCACGCTCTAATCCCAGCCAGCACTTTGGGGGCCAAGCACATGGATTACTTGAGTCCAGGAATCTGAGATCAGCCTTGGCAACGTGGCAAAACCCCATCGCTACAAAAAATAGGAAAATTAGCCTGGCACAGTAGCATGCACGTGTAGTTCCAGCTACTTGGGAGGCTGAGGCAAGAGGATCACTTGAGTCCGGGATGCAGAGGTTGCAGTGAACCGAGATCACACCATTGCACTCCAGCCTGGGCGACAGAACAAGACCCTGTCTCAAAAAAAAAAGAGAGAGAGAGAGAAGATATTAATTACTGCCACTGGGATGCATTGTGAAAAAAAAAAAAATGAAAAAGTAAAAAAAAATGGCTGGGCACGGTGGCTCAACCTGTAATGCCAGCACTTTGGGAGGCCGAGGCGGGTGGATCACCTGAGGTTGGGAGTTTGACCCAGCCTGACCAACATGGAGAAACCCCGTCTCTACTAAAAATACAAAAAATTAGCCAGGCGTGGTGGTGCATGCCTGTAATCCCAGCTACTCGGGAGGCTGAGGCAGGAGAAATGCTTGAACCTGGGAGGCGGAGGTTGCAGTGAGCCAAGATCAGGCCATGGCACTTCAGCCTGGGCAACAAGAGCGAAACTCCATTTCAAAAAAAAAAAAAATAAGTAACAGGTGGTATGCAGATATTACAAAACTATGAGAATGGCATGCAAATAACTAGAGTTTGGCAAAAAATTGAACAAGAAAAATTCTGTCAATCCAAGAAAAGAAGGAAACAAAATAAAGTAGAAAAATTAATTACAAACAAATCAAAAATCACAATAAAAGTAAGCTGGGGTAAATCCTTTTGTCTTAGTCCATTCCAGCTGCTATAACAGAATGCCAGAGCCTGGGCGGCTCATAAACAAATTGATTCGTCACAGTTCTGGAGGCTGGGAAGTCCAAAATGAAGGCACTGGCGAACCCCGTGCCTGCTTCCCAGACTGCATCTTTTTGCTGTGACTTCACTTGGCGGAATGGGCAAGGGATTTCTCTGGGGTCTATTTCTAAGGGCACTAATCTTATTCATTAGAGTTTCACCCTGTATCACCTTGGGAATTTGGATTTCAACATATGGATTTGGGGGACATAAAAATTGAGCCCATTGTACTACCCTCGAAAAGAAAAACATTTTTCCCCTTAAAAAAAAAAATCCAGCTATGAACTACCTAGAGAACTACATGCCCCTGACATGGGGACTATTACAATTCAAGGTGAGATTTGGGTGGGGACACAGAACCAAACCGTATCAGATGGTTTTTTAATAAAGATCAATAAAATGGTCAAACCTTTAACAAATTTCAGTAAGAAAAAAGGAAAGAAGACACATCTTTTTTAAAAAATTAATGAAAAAGGTTTCATTACAACAGAAATAAAGGACTTTAAAATTGTAAAAAAAAAAAAAAACTATAGAGCATAGCTTTATGCTAATAAATTTGAAATCAGTGTTTAGATGAAATGGATTATTTTCCAGGAAAACATAAGTTACAAAAAAGACTCAAAAAGAGATAAAAGATCAATTTTTTTTTACAGTTGAATAGCTCCACTTAAATATAACCAGACAAAATTCTTTATGATTGAATTTTATCAAGCTTCAGGGACCAGATAATGTTTTCACTGAAGAAGGCATTAGCTAAAAAAATAAAATCATAATAATCTGGTTTGTTTTATTTGTATTTTAGGTTTCAGAGCATAAAAAGATGGAAAGCTTCCAATTCATGCTGCCAAGCTAGCAGAACTCTGACAGCAATGCCACAAAGCAGCACCAAAAAATAAACCTATAGGTTAATCTCACTTGTGGAATATATAAATACAAAGTGGAAGTCGAGGCTGGCTGTGGTGGCATGTGCCTATAATCCCAGCACATTATAGGTGGGAGGATTGCTTGAGCCCAGGAGTTCAAGACCAGCCTGGGCAACACAGTGAACTCCCCTGTCT